TTGATTAATCATTTTTATTGTGGAGGGTGTTAATCATAGATATTATCATCTTCATTATTTTAATTTTAAAGAAAAATACATGAAACAGTTTCATTAATGTTAGAGAAATACACGAAACAGTTTCATTAAGTATTATATGAAACAATTTCACAACCATATATGAAACAACTTCATCAAAAAAAATATTATATGAAACAATTTCATAAGATTAAACAATTTCATGAAAATTTTTCATAAGATTAAACAATGAAATCGACAGATGAAGGTGGTTTGCACGGTTTACACAAATGAGGACGGTTTTCATATGATCACTCCTCTATATATATATATATATATATATATATATATATATACACACACACACACACTACAATTTAAATGACTTGTACCCACAAAAATAATCCAGGAAAATTTCTGTCGATGGAACATCTAGAAAATACCTATAGTAATGAATCCGATTTTTTTTCAAGGAAATAAATAAATCCGGCTTTGTATAATCTCTCGAGTTTCTTATCAACAATTTATTCACCAATTTTTTATGACGGTTTTATGATGAATCACGGATTTTACAGAGAAAAATTCATAGATAAAAGTCTTACTACAAAGTAGTGATATATATATACAAGCACATTGTCCTCTCTCTATGTGCTTATTTATGTTTTGGGTTTCTTTCCCATCTTATCCTTTCTTGTATTAAAAATATTGTTTTTTTAACTTTTTATGATTTTGATTTTGAATGTTTCAAGAAACGGTATTCTGCATTTCTTAAAGTAAACAAGATTCAAATTTTAAAGGTAACTTTTTGCTTCTTTAGGTTGCATGCATGTGTTTTTGTTGTATAGATGCAATTTTACCCTCATCTTCCTTTCCCTTCTGTGTTTTACCAGTTTTACTTTTTCTTTAACATATAACAACACAATCATTCTTCATCTTTAGCTTTAAAAGAATCAAGAGACAAGTATTACCTTCCAAAGGAACTCGATATGAGATGCAAGCTAAAACTCCGCCCGAGGATGATCCGAAATCCTGCACAACTCAAAACTGTCCATGATAATCATGCTTCAGAAAGCAAGCTGAATGACTAGAAAATATCTATTAGAACTGTATACGATAAAAAAAAGTTTTAAGACACAAAAAGTAATATATACTAACAAATACATAGAGCTTGATTCGAACCAACATTCGAATTTGAACCGACCAACATCGAATCGAGTTTGGTTAAGGAAATCTAGAGATTGTGGAGCAGTAAATTTGTGAATTCACTTGGGGAAAAAGTAGAAAATCTTCTTTTTGGGGTTTGTCCTTTTTGACTTCTTTTGAGAGTGACCTTTATTATGAACTTTAGGACTCGAGCACTACCTATATACATATGGGTGGCCTGGCCAAGACCAAAACACTAAGAAGCACGCTGAGCCTGACCTTTGATACCCAAAGCCTTACCAACCCAACGGGTGCTTCACTTTTCCTATGTATTTTTTTCTTTTTGAATTTGACTATAAGAACCTAGTCGTTTCTTACCGGGTAAGTGGTCTTAATCCGGTAAGAATAATGTCATTTACCCACATCCTTTGACCTACAATGTCGCTGACTAAGATGTTGTCCCGTTAAGGATCAAAAGCCTCATTTACTCAACTTGTGTCGATAAACGGGCCTAAAACTTGAAAAGTGAGGATGGTGATTGGTGAAACCCTCTTGGCTAGTTTATAAAGTTGATAGGATAGATGATGGGCCTACATATGTGCTCTCTTGTTCTTGGGCTCCAAGATAATAGGGCCATTAATTATGTAGCTGGCAGAAAAACACTTGGGTCTTTTTCGTTTCCACTTTTGATTTACTTGCTGATGCTAATTATATAATGCCAGAATATATAAAGATGGAGACTGGGAATATGGGTGCAGTTGCTTGATGTGAGAAGGGGTTAACATAAATGGGAAATAGAGAACATAGGGAAATGGTTTACCCAAATGAAAGCCTTGACAGCCAATTTAAAACCAAACCCGGTATATCCCACTTGTGGGTGTGGTTCGGAGAGGGTAAGATGTATAAAAATCTTTTCTCTACCTCAAATAGTAGAGCGGTTTTTTATGTGAAGAGCCCCGGCTTGTAAAATATGTAACATAGAGGGAAAGACAGATATGATAAAGATTTGAAAAGCTGGCACAAATGATAATCACAACCAACTCGCCATAGTTTAACCCATTGCACAAATGCAAGAATGGACGTACCTATGTGTATTCAATCATGGATCGACATCCCTGCAATAGCTGGTCCTTGTCTAGTTGACTCTACAGAAGACTTTTGACTTGATGTTTGGAGAACTGCTGAGTTGAGGTTGTCTCCCTAGTACCCTCTCAGCTTTTTGCATCTAATTGGACAAACTCTGTAGAAATGAAATTGAAACTAGAATAGAATACAAGTTTGCAGCCCTGATTCTAATGGCGTGATGGCATGAACCCCAGTGAAGTTATGGATGCACCTGTTTAAAACTCCTACAGCAGTGCACCATTCAGTACTGATCAGATGATTAAACCCTCCTAAAAACACTTGGGAATACGAACAAAACAGTGCCACAAAGAATGATGATGGCAATTGCAAAATTTGCTAGCAAAAATGGATATGAAAGCATCTCATGCTTTCACTAGTGACTAGAAATATGCATCAGCATTGACCCAATATCAAATTTCAATCTTCAGCTTTACTAGAACCGATTTCTACACTACATGCATCAAACTATTACATATTCAACCTTGAGGACCAAATAAAGGCTAGGCCTTGGGGCTCTCCCCCATAGGTTGCCGTTTCGAGTATCCTCGGCACCACTAGGGATTTTCCTGATTGGTATCTTCAGGGCCCATAGGATTACTTGAAGTTTGTGCAACATGGCTCAGATACCCACAGGTACCAAAAAAAGTATTATGTGCATGATACCAAAACCTTCATGTAAGGATATGCAGGACACAACAGTTTCAGAAGATCTTGTGTGATATTATACAGTTATATAACAAACATCAATGTATCACATCAGGCAGCAAAGATAGAGAGTATACAATTTACAATAAGCATGCTTCAGTAGAACAATTAGATAGCAGAAAGTTTTTATCATCAAAGCTTCTCCCCACATCTTCAGCACGACAGCTCAAACAATCTCGTCCATATCATGTGTGTCAAAAAGAAGCGGAAACTCATCATAATGTTGTGAGAGGCCTAGTTCTTGTGCTATGCTACTCAGCGCTTCAGAAACCCGATACATTGACCATCTCACCTGGGGTTGAGGAGCAACACAATTACCTGCGATTCGCAGAATTTGGAGAATTTCATCATCATGACCTGTGCCATAGAGATTCTTATCAATGGCATCCTTGATTTGTCCTGATCTAGACAGTTGGTTTACCCAGTCGACCAGATTACCCTTAAACCCTTCTTCAGCAGCAGTTACTTTGAGAGGTTTCTGCCCAGTCACCAATTCCATGAGCACTACACCAAAACCATAAGTATCACCTTTCACAGAAGCAACCATGGTGCTTGAGTACTCTGGAGCCACATAACCAAACTCACCCATATCCCCATCAGCAAAGCTACTCTCATCCAGTTGTTCAGAAGAGGAAGTCATGAGCCTAGCCAATCCAAAATCCACTATTCTTGCATTGTAATCCTCATCAAGGAATATGGTGTTGGAGCTAACATTTTGGAGCAATACTGGAGGGCGACAGCCATGATGAAGCCAAGCAAGCCCTCTTGCTGCACTTAGAGCAATTCTAAACCTAGTAGGCCAATCTAACAAACTCCCATTTTTATGCAACACTGACGACAAAGTTCCATTGGACATGTACTTATAAACTAAGAGCTTCTCCTCTTCCACTATGCAGAATCCCAACAGAGGAGTCAGATTAGGATGTCTAAGCTGACCTAATCTGTTCATCTCCAACCGAAATTGCCTCTCATGAAGCTTGCAAGTGTTAAGCCTTTTAATTGCAAGTGCAGAACCATCCGATAGAACGGCTCTATAAGTAGTTCCTGTCTTGGTCGATATTATAACATTCTCTCTACTGAAATTGTTTGTTGCTATCATTAAATCCACCAGCCTAACCTTCACAAGTGGTTTCTGAAATAAAGAAACCTGAACAAGCTTGAAAGCTCTCAACCTGTCAGCCCAACTACTACTATCATCATCTCTGTGAATGCCATTCTTTCTCTTCCTCTTCGACCTCATAGAGCACCACCACCACATCCCAAACCCTAACAGTATTGACCCTACAGCCCCCAACACACCAGCGGCAATAATAATTGCAAGATTCTTCTTGCTCAGACCACTACACTTGGTAAGGGGATTACCGCAAAGTCCATCATTTCCATCAAAAGCCGATGAATCAAAATTGGACAACCCTGACGGAATTGAACCAGATAGACCATTGTTTGCAACTGAAAACATTTTTAGCCTGCCCAAGTTGGAGAACTCAGCCGGTATATTACCAGACAACTTATTTCCTGACAGAAGTACAGTATTCAGAAACGAACAATTTCCGAGATTCGCCGGAATTTCTCCAGTTAATTCGTTGTTTGACAAATCCAAACTAACCAAATAAGGTAACCAGCTACAAATTTCACCAGGAATAGAGCCGGTGAGATTATTACCAGAGAGATCCAGGTTCTGTAAGCTCGGACATAACCGTAAGGACGAAGGAACTGATCCAGGAAGTCCAAGATCGCCAAGCATGAGTGAAATCAAACGATTCTCCTGATCATTCCAACACGTGACGCCATAGAATCCGCAGATAAATCCTCTAGTAGAATTAGCAAAGTTCCACGTCGAGAGCTCCGATCCTGAACCACCAATTGATCTCTGCACCCCTCGCAAACACTCCACATCATCCTCCGCGACGACCGTTGACGGCTCGGTACAGAACAAAACCACAAACGTTATTAAGAACACGGCGACGAGATTAGTTCTGAAACAATTCATGGAGGTAGGGTTTTGTGATCGGAATTTCACCAACTTTCCGGCGATTATGGTGGTGGTGGCGGTCGGAGGACGATAAGAAGGAAGAAAAGCATTGACTTTTTGCGTCATGAATTCTGTAATTTTGACTTGAAAGCGGTTTGATTGGCGGGTTTTAATTGATTTGAGTGGGAAAGGGGAGTAATTAAGTGTTTGACCGACCAGGATATTGATTGTGGAGTCGTCAAATTCCACGCGCTTTCAATGTAGACCCGTTAAATAAGAATCTCCCAAACATAACTTTCCAAAATTTCATTAAAATATAAAATTCAAGGTTAAAATTTTAATAGCTTATTTATTTTGGTACTGAAATACAGCAGATCAATTATATCAGATATTGTTTATTTTATTCACATCTAGATTTACATTTTTTATCCTCTTTGGGAGCCCAACATTTTTGTTAACACATCAGTCTGGTTTTCGACTCTGATACCATTGTAACTCACGGTTTTAAAAATACGTCTAGTATAGGAGATATTCAGTTCATTGTAAGGTAACCTTAATTATCCTCCCTAACTGATGTGGGATATTACATTTCACCCACCCCCCAACCCTCGGGAACTCAGCATCTTCGTTGGCACATCAGTCTGGTGCCCGGCTTTGATACCGTATGTAACATCTTAGACCAACGGTACCAGTCCGTTTTGTTCATATCTTGACTTACGGTTTTTTAAAAATGTGTATGATAGAGAAAGTATTGAGTCCCTTATAAGACAATCTTAGTTCTTCTCCTCAACCGATGTTGGAGCTTACAATCCACCCATATTAGGAGTCCAGCATCCTCACTGACACACTGGTATATGTCATGGTTCTGATATCATCTGTAACATCCCAGATGAAACGTATTAGATATTGTCCATTTTGTCCATACCTAAACTCAAATGTTTTTTTTAAACGTGTTTGATAAAAGAGGTATCAAGTCCCTTATAAGACAACCTTAGTCGATGTGGGATCTTACAGGTATGCCTCTAGGAAATTTATGGTGCTTTCAACTTCATAACTGCATTCCAGGCTGAGCACGACACTATTATGCACCCATTTCACATTCTAGGTGTAGATGGTATATCTGACCACTCCTTATCCGATGCTATACATGGTTCACTGGTCTCTGATTTGATCAGAAAAAAACACAAAAATAAAGGTGTTACAGATAATGTACATACAAATAAATAAATATTAATTTTTATATAAAATAAAGCACATATATTCAAACATCACGATTAGAAAAACACACATAAAAATGAAGATGTTACAAATAATGTTACATAGAAATAAATAAATATTAGTTTGTATATAAATTAAAGTACATATATTCAAACATAATGATGACATGTGATGAAAGTGAAACAATTATCTCTATATTTAAGAAAAGGAAGAAAAATAAACTTGTTTTAAAAACAACACTTGTGTTATTGCTTATATAAAACTTGTTATATGTGAAAAATACATACATAAAAAAAAATTCACAGTGTTTTTGTTGTAAATGTTCAGCTTTTTTACCATCATATCGTTTTGCTGTGAAGTTTCAAATATAAAAAATGGTCTCATGTAAATAAGTTGGTTTCACGTGAACTCAACTATATATATATATATATATATATAGAGAGAGAGAGAGAGAGAGAGAGAGGAGTTGGTATTTAATTGTATCTCTAATCTTCTTTATTCCTTCTCAGGTCCATAATTAGAATGAAAAAAGGGGAACGTCAATTCATCCGGGAAAAAATGATTAATCTATATCAATAAACCTGCCAAATAAGCGAACCATAAAGTATTTAGTACCAGTGCTACAGAAAAATATGTTTTTAGATCTCACATTGAAAAATCTCCTTCATTTTATTGTAATACATATTGAAATGTACAATCATCCCGTAAATAAGATTCACTTTTTTGTTAAATATAGAAAAAACGTCATTTTCTTCCCTAATATTATATATAGATATATATAGGGGTCTATTTAAAGAAAAGCTGATTAGTTTGTGGTAACCATGAGATCCAATGTGAACAACTCGTTTAAGATATTTAATGATATTTCTTAAATAAGCTAAAAGAATCATATAGTAATTCTAATTTTTGACAACTAAACAAAATATTTAACTAATTTTTTAGAACGAAATATTTAACTAGAACTAGTTACCTAGTATATCAATTACCTAATATACACCGTATTTTAAAAATGTTTGTGAATCAAAGTGTATCATAGTGATAAGGTTCACAATGTATTTTATTTGTTTTATGAAATGTATCATAGTACGCATTTTCGTTATTTTCATTGCTTTACAAATGGTGTGCATCTTGTATGTATATCTTGTGTTCACATAAGTTCATTAGAAAGATTCGTCGAATAAGATTCACCGGATAGAGGAAAGATGAGAGAGGAGATTTATAAAATCCCTAAAATGCCCTCAATTAAAAGTTTAAGTTAAAATTACCAAAATTATTAATTTCATAATTTAACCCTTGATTCGTGGTTGAGATTGGATCTTACGGTTACCACAAACAAAACATTTTAAATTTGATTAGGCCCCTATATATATATATATATAGAGAGAGAGAGAGAGAGAGATGACGTTTCAAATGCAACCTATTATATTTATACAAGTAATGTAACCCAATCAATTGAGATATTTATGAAAATGACGAGAGTTCATTTATTATGATCTGAATATTTACAGAAGATAAGTAGGGTTCATTAATTATGATCAATACTTTATATTATGAAACAATCAGAACTTTTATAAAATCACATATTCATCAAATTAAATATACGGTTAAGATTGAGTTGTATTGATTATAATAAATATCAATACGTATAAACTGTTGTTTTCATAAATGAAACGTCAAGAAATATTTTACCTGTAAAAAAATACATAAAACATACTTTTTATGTGATTTAAGGTTTATGGTTTTTTAATTATTCTTCAATATTCTATTTTTATTTAATTAATTCTAATAGAGCGTTATTGAATCCTTAATCATTTGCTTTTTATTATAAAACTAATATAAATATATTTAAATATTTAATACAAAAAGTCAACAATGACGATAAATACCATATGACTTCATKTTTAACCCATATACTATATTATAAAATATTTGATAAAAAATTAAAAAAATTATTTTTTATGTATAAAATACTACTTATTCATGCATATTACTTAAAATTCAATTTTACAAGTAATTTTACGTAAATACAATATATTAAAGTTCAATTTTTAAATTTGTGTAACTAACTGCAGATAAACATAATCAAATACAAGATAAACATTCATTCAACGCCCTAATTTCATTGTAAACAATTATATTTTATTTTGCACTATATCATGAGAGCCTCTTAATCATTATGCACCAAACCATTCAGCAACGGCCAAACATCCCTTTATTTTATTTGAATATAAATTTTGAAATTTTCTTACATTAAATTATTATTATTTACAATATAAATTTTGTAAGTTGTTGTATTGCACGAACACATAACTATAAGATAATATAAACTGTATGAGACTGGATTAGACTAAGGTGACGTTTGTTTTTCAAGAGGTACTGAAATCTGAAGTCTGATTTCATTTCTGATTTATAAAAAGTGGTCTTGAAGTTTGAAATATAGATCAGTAAAATTGTTTGTTTTTACGTCTGAAGTCCAAAATTTGAATCAGTCAAACTAGTGCAAAAATATAAAAGAAAAATATTTTTTTATAGTAAAGATATAAAAGATAAATAGTTATTGCTAACAAAATATTCTAACTCTCAAAATATGAACCATTTGATATAGACGAATTAGGATTAAGAGGTATTAAGAGATACATTTACCATTTAAAAATTCAGATGACATTTAGATCTTTTAAACTCTTATTTTAAAAATAAAAAAAAACGTTTTTAATACCCAAACGTCTGAACGAATCAAACTTCAGAGGTATTAAAAGGTAATTTTGAAAAACAAACAGACGCTGATTATCTTTTCAGTATTTAGTTTCGTCGCGCCTCATCAAATCTGTATACCAAACGCACCATAAAATAATAAAATATGGATATATATACAATACATGAACAACTAAACTAGAATTTTAACAAGGCACCAAATCAATTGCTTTTTATAGTGGATCACTTTATATATTAAATATAAAATGCTTTTTATTATAAAAATAATTCATATATTTTAATTAAAAAGTCAATGATAACACAAAAAAATAAATAGTATTTATAGAATCATTAGGAAACAATAAATATTGGGTTTTTTATGAACACAGTTTTATAAGTTAATGTATATAAACTAGGGGGTCTTTGGTCTAACGGTATCGTAGTCTTTGGCCTCATAGGAGGTTAGGGGTTTAAACTTCACCAAATGTGAGGAGGGTGTGTAAGTTTATTTGTTCTAATTGTCATATATAAATATTATATACTTAGAAAAATCGAAATTATATATGACTAAATGTTCTATGATTCATTCAGACGTTGTTTGTTTGTTTTTTCAAAATTACATCTTAAGTCTGATTCATTCAGACGTTTGGGTATTAGGAGCGTTTGTTTTATTTTTAAAATAAGAGCTTAAAAAATCTAAATGTTCTCTGAAATTTTAAGTGGTAAATGTACCCCCTAATACCTCTTAATCTTAATCTGACCTCTATCATATGGTTCGTATTTTGGGGGTTGGAAGAGATTTATTAAGCAAAAACTATTTTTCCTTTATACATTTGTAAAAAAAATTATTTATCTTTTATATTTTTGCACTAATTTGACCGATTCAGGTTTAAGACTTTAGACGTAAAAACAAACAATCTCACTGATCTAAATTTCAGACTTCAGGACCATCTCTTATAAATCAGAAGTGAAATCAGAATCCAGACTTCACCACCTCTTAAAAAACAAACGCCACCTAAGAAAATAAGTTGCAACGATTTAAATTGTTGATTACGGTTTGTTTTTAAAACGAAAAGAAACATAAATTTGAGGGTCAAAGGTGTTATCGCTGATAAATTGTATGGACGTATTTGCCAACTAACCATACATTTGATATGAAAGTTCTTGTGGCTGAGGCTCGATTTGGCACTCATTTCAACTCTCTTTTGGACGACAGTAAAGGCAAAAGGTGCATCATCGATAAAGCAACAAACTCTTTTGGACTTTAGAGAAACAAGGGAGAATTCAACGTTCAAGCGGATTAGGGTTTGTCTGAGGTAAAATCACGATTGGGGCAAATTACTTAACCGATCTTGATGATATTTTTATGGTTGGTTTCTCTTGCGAATCTATAAGACTTAAAAGCCAAATATGGTCGTGGATCATGTATTTGGCTGGAGAAACCGTACTAACAAGTTTGACTGAAAAACCGAACACTTCTTGATGAAATTGGAACTCCATGTTGGATTAGAAAAGGGTGATTTTTGTTCCACTAATTAAGGAGGATTTATATTGAGGTTTTATTGCAAAAAAAGTGGCAAGAAAACGGTGAAGATAATTGAGCCAAAATCGGTGGGGCCAAAACGATCAGCTCGTTGAAAATCGCGTCAGGTCACAATGATGCAAAATGTGTCGCTTCGGGTCAAGCGAAATGGGCTGGGATCTTCATGACCCATGTTGGTGGGTTTGGGTGGAGGTCGGGTCCTCGAATCTCGGCTTGGGTCTGGAACTTTGGGTCACAACAACGTGGGCCAAAGCCCACGTTGGTCACATGATGCTATTGGGCTGGGCTTGTTTCGTTGGGCCATATATAAAGTCAGTCCAAACTTCAAAGGTTTTCATAAGGTTTAATTTTGGTTTATTAAATAAATTACAATTTAGGAATATAACTAACTAATAATTTAATTTCCGCATTAAATAATACATTAATTTAATTTTTAGTTGGTTTATGTATGGGTAAATTGCATAAAAAAGTAACGTGTTGAGTTTCGGTGAGAAACATAAGAAAATATCTCGACCCTTAGATCAATCCTAATTGGATGTTAACACTACTGAGGTGCACCGAGATGCACCAGATCAATTCATTTCTAAAGCGCAATTCATAGGTAAACATGATATTAAAAGTGATAAATGATAACCACAAGGGTGGTGCCTGATTGGTTTGAGCTTGGCTCCAAAGGTCAACTGTATCAGGAGGTCCCATGTTCAAATCCAATGAGTAATAAAAATCCCCTTGTGGCCACAGAGGTTCAAATGCGGTGACTCCGCAGCTGGTCGCCCTGGATTTAGTCAGCTCTCATAGCGGGTTGGATATCCAGATTAATAAAAAAATTGATAAATTATTCAGATCTTTTCTTACACTTCTCTTCTTAACTTTTTTTTCTCACACGATCATTCGCCTTAAATAACTGACACTAAAATATTTGTTTATCTTCGTTTTTTACCCCAAGTCACGTGTCACTATCACGTGATCATCACTTTTGGAACACAACTCCAAAAGCCTTCTCTTCTACCAATGTTTCCTTACGGATAGGCTTTTTCCGGAGGGTTATAAAACAGTGTTCAAATCAAAATTCGAGTTTACATCCTCAACGTACAACCCATTAAAGCAATATGATTCTTAATCAAGCAATTATAGGTCTGGACAAAGCAATTACATTATTTATAACCCAAACGAAATTACAACACAACAATGCACCTAAAAAAATCAACTACAAAGGTATAGTTTGATAACATTATTTGAGTATCTTCAGTAGATTTTTTAAAATACAGATTTTGAAGATTTTTGTTTTAACAGATTTCTCAAATCCTTATCCAAAATTGAGAAAATACGAGAAATAATATAAAATTCTTTAAAATTGAAAAACTTTCCAAAAATGATTACTTATAGGGATAGAGATGGCAAAAAAAAAAAAAAAACAACCGAAACCGATGGTGAAAACTGAAAACCGAAACTTTCAGGGTCAGGTTTGGAAACATCTTATCGAGGACGGGGTGAGGATCGGGACATATTCGGGGATTTTAACGGGTTTGGGGATGGTGATCACCGGCCCGGCCTGATATGTGTATGTATAAAAGAAAATACTAACATTAAAATTTAAAAGACTTTTATCCATTTTGGCTCAACATCACAAATAAGGCTTGCAAAAAAATCTAGTTATTTGTCTAATCGTGAAATCGTGATGTTAGTTGTATGGTGTTTGAATTTCTATTTACTTTTATATTGTAATATAAAATGTTGTTTGTAATTGGTTTGATTATGTTTGAGACATTTATACTTACATATTAAAAAATTGTAATTTACTTTTAGTTGTGAAATTTAAACCTTAAATTTTAAGTAATATGTATCAATATACAGTATTTTATACATAAAAACTGGTTTTTTAAAAGTTTTTATCAAATGTTTTACGATATAGTATAGATTATTACAAAATAAAAGTAGTTTTTTATTTATATTTTACCGTTGAGAAACTTTAGGTCAATTTTTTATGAAAAGGAAATAATACGTTAAGATATATATAAAATATGTTAATAATATGGTAACATAAAATAGTATGGAATCTTTTAAAGACGATCTCTATTTTATTTAATATAAATTACAATAAAAATATAATTTATTATTTTTAAAATAATTAATTATATTATTGTAATTCAAATTATTTAGCTCGTTTTATAAAATACAATTCTAATGAAAATCGTTTTAAATCATTTATAAATAAGAGGACTTTCATCAAACGTTTGGAGTGAAATTCACCATTCATCAGATTTACTGTTCGTGAAGTCAGGTAAAATGCTCTGATTTTTATCAGATAAAATTTATGGTGTTTACTTCAACTTTTCATCTAAGAAGATCATCGATTTTTGCTATACTTTTTAACTTTTATCTGAAAAGATTATCGATTTCTGCTATACTTCTTAACTTTTATATGAGAAAATTATCGGTTTCTGTTGTATTTTTTACAGAATACCTGTAAGTTCTGGATCTTTACCACGAGTTTTTACACATAAGATTATCGGTTCTTGATTTCTTGTCATGCTCGTTAAATCGCCTACGTGTTAAAAAGTTCGATAAAACCCTAAATCTTGATTTGTTTGGAAGAATACGAAGATTCTTGATTTTTGTTTTGTATAAAGTAATTAGTTTATGGGCTTGATAGTGAAGATGAACCCTAGAAATAGAAATTAGGTCAAGAGAAGCCCAAATCAAGAAAAGGGAATTAGGTCGACCGAACGAAGCCCAAATCAAGAAACGGAAGAATTTGATTGATGATCGAGAAAAGCCCAAATTCAAGAAATTGGAATCTATGTATAAAATCCGAGCCCCTTTGATCATATATATATAATGAAATTGTATAAATGGCGTCACGTAAATTAGATTACAATTACACGCACAATGCACAAATTTCTTCACCTCTTTTTTGTTGTACCTCTTCGTATCTCTTCTCAAACTGGGTTGTTTTTGCTACACAAGTAAATTGTTGTTTCGAAGACTTCGATCTAAAGGTGATTCAACTTGTTTGATGTTGTTGGGTGCTTAGATCTGCCCCAATTTCCCCCCTTTGAGCAGAGGTTAACCTTTTGTTTTTCTTCATGATTTCTTAATATTTACATGGTATAGATTTACTCGGTGTTATCTATGGAATTTGTTTGTGATTTACGCTTCTTTTTAACACAAAACCTTGTTGTGTGGTTTGTTGTTGCAGATATGAAGCGATTGCGAGATGATGTATTTAGTAACTCTCAAATTAAGCGACCTTTTGGTTCTTCTCGAGGAGAATCGTACGTTCTAGTCTTTGAATTCTTTCAATTTTGTGGTTTTATATCTTAAACTTCGTTTTATTGTTTGATTACGTGGATTGTTCTTGTGTTGCCATGATTTGAGGTGGTTTGATCCTTTTTTTGCTTCAATTCTCTCATGCAAATATGCACTTCTTTGTGCCTGATTGCATCTGAATTTGAATCTGCCTAAAATTTCATGAGGTTAGTTGAAGTTGGTGGATTAATGTTTTCCCTGCAATTATCGCGTGATCAGCATTAATTGGTTTCTGAAATCACATCTAGCAGGAACTATGATTAGACTCTGTTTATTTTGACTTTCATCGATTTAGATGTAAATCTTTGATAATAGGTGATAAGTTCATGGTCTTTATGCATAATATTTATATTTGCAGTCAGATATGAATCATTATGCTTAGCCCCTTGTTAGGGTGCTAATGTTTGACCTTTTTAGGTTTTAGGGCTTATGATGATTAGATCGTCAACTGGATAGTGGGAGAAAGCGATTTATGGGCTGTTTGGTTGGTTTTTCATTATATTCTGTATGGATAAAGTTGCCTGTGTGGATTAATCTGTCTGTATAAATTGAAAAGGTTTTGTTTGGGAAGGTTTTTTCATAGATAGGAGCTTGTCTTTTAACTAGAAGGGGCATGTTTGGAAAAAACTTGGCTTTCTGCATAACCCCCCTAGATGCTTACTAAATAAGCCACTTTGTATATCGTTATGCCACTACCAAACAGTCATGTATAGATGACCGAATAAGCTTTGAGTCTCATTAAGCTCATTAAGCTGCTAACAAGCAGGCCCTTAGAATTTTTAACAGCCATCAATTGACTCTTCTGATTTGGAGAAGGGGTGGTATCAAATTTTATTAGTGAAATGGATAGGGTATGCCCTGTGATAATACCCCCAAGAAATCACGGAGGATCAGTCTATATCCATGAGCAGGAATGGTAATTGAATCCCTAACAACAGTTATGGGAAATGGTTTGCATAGCAGTTTCTACGATATTTTTCTTGTTTGATATACTGTGTTGTTTCTTGCTAAAGGGTCGATTTTAATATTTTCTTCATGTTGTAGATATGGCCAACCGCCAGTCCCCGGAGGAGGAGAGGAGATAGCGGGAGGGGTAGGTGCTGGAGGAGGGGGAGGAGGTGCTAGTAGTGCCCAGAAACTCACTACCAATGATGCTTTAACGTATTTAAAGGAAGTTAAGGACATGTTTCAAGACCAGAGAGAAAAATACGACATGTTCCTTGATGTGATGAAAGACTTTAAAGCTCAAAGGTACATAATTTTCGGTCGGAAGGTTAGCATTTGATAGGTTCCCAATAGTTATTTCCAAATTAACATGCAACTCTTTTGACAATTTACCTTATGCAGAGTTGATACTACCGGGGTGATAGCAAGGGTGAAAGAATTGTTTAAAGGGCACAATAACCTAATTTTTGGGTTTAACACTTTCTTGCCCAAAGGCTACGAAATTACTGTTATTGAAGACGATGAGGCTCCACCAAAAAGAACCGTGGAGTTTGAAGAAGCTATAAGCTTTGTGAACAAAATAAAGGTGAAACTGATTCAAGTCAAAGATGAAAAGGGAAAAGTAGTTTGAATTGTTTCTTTCATATATGTAAATATTCTAACCCTGTTTCCCTCCTTTGCAGAAACGATTTCAAAACGATGATCATGTTTACAAATCGTTTTTAGACATCTTGAATATGTATAGAAAGGAACACAAGGGTATCAATGAAGTCTATCATGAGGTGAAGTTCTATAAACTTCTATGTAGATATTTCATGACATATAGAATCATGTTTCATTTTATGTCACAACTATGTTTGGTTAGTCACCGATTGTCATCTATGCAGGTCGCTACGCTTTTTGATGACCATCCAGATCTTCTTGATGAATTCACAAGATTCTTACCGGATGCTTCTGCTGCTGCATCTGCACATCATGCTTCATTTCTCCGGCAATCATATCACCGGTATGATGAACGGAGCTCGGTTATGGCTCAACTCAGACATACACAAATGGACAAGGTAAGTAGCACATTACATTTTTACTAATTTTTTAAAATTTGATGCAAGGAATTAAATATCTTTATGTTATTAGCAACGAGGCCGGCGAGATAGAATTATTCCTCCCCAAGGTGAACGGGACCTAAATGTTGAATCTCCTGACATGGATGAGGATAAATCAATGGTGAAACTCCACAAGGAGCAGAGGAAACGTGCTGAAAAGGAGAGCAGGGATAGAAGAACCCGTGATCAGGATTTCAAAGAGCCTGATATCGATGCTAACAGGGACATGCACCGTCTTGAAAAACGGAAGTCTGCACGCAAGGTTGAAGATTTTGGCGTGCATTCGGGTTTAGCTCCATACGATGATAAGGATGCCTTAAAAAGTGAGTAAACTTTTCGGTATACCAGTTGATGATTTTATGAAATAACACTTTTTGATGATGGAATATTACCTTTCTTTCTTTCTGGAGAGGTTGCATCAGTGGATGATGTTTCTAATCGATTGCGAGCTACATTATATTGAACTTATGGTATTTGCTTATTATAGGTATGTACAGCCAAGAATTTACTTTCTGCGAGAATGTGAAGAATAGGTTACGCAATCCAGATGATTACCAAGCATTCTTGAAATGTCTACATATCTATAGCACAGAAATAATTACAAGGAAAGAATTACAGAGCTTGGTATGTATTTTTATGCTTGCCCTTTGCTTACTCTAAAAATTGCAACACTATGATTTACTTGGAAATTTTCTTGTTTCAGGTTTCAGATTTACTTGGAAAGCACCCAGATCTTATGGAAGGATTCAGTGCATTTTTGGAGCGTTGTGAAAATATAGGTGGCTTTTTGACGTCTGTGGCTCTTTTTAGTTTTTATATACTTTGAAAACTTCTCTTATTCACTAATACACCTTGTTTGCAGATGGATTTCTTGCTGGTGTTATGGACAAAAGTATGTTTTGTTGCTTGTATAGTTTGTTTTCATTTGTTTTCCCCTCTTATCTAATCTACAAATCATTAAACTGATCTGCAGTGAGAGTGAAATTCTTTTCCCATATTTAGGTTTTGTTTATGCCTTATAATCTGACAAGGCATTGTATGCTTGGCAGAAGCTTTTGGGAATGAAGGCCATGTATCCAAATCAACCAGGACAGAGGAGAAAGAGCGAGAGCATAGACGTGAAACTGATGCTGCTAAAGAGGACATGTATAAAGAGAAGTATTGGGGGAAATCTATACAAGAACTTGACCTGTCTAATTGTCAACGTTGCACTGCCAGTTACAGACTTCTTCCTGATGATGTAAGTCTCGTACTGCTTCTTCCCGTTTGTGTGTTCAAGTAATTTGTCTCTTCACCTGACATTGTGTTTGGTCTTCTCCAGTATCCAATACCATCGGTAAGCCAGAGATCTGAGCTTGGTTCTCAAGTACTGAATGATCTCTGGGTATCTGTTACTTCTGGTAGTGAGGATTACTCCTTCAAACATATGCGTAAAAACCAGTACGAAGAAAGCTTGTTCCGATGTGAGGATGACAGGTACTATATCTGCCTCTGTCATGAAAAGAAATACTTAATCAGTCCCAAAATAAGTGTCAACGTTTCTATCTTAGTTTGTCCCAAAATGTCCATTTTCAAAAGTACGTACCTACTTTTCAATTCTACCCGTAATTATGAGACACAGAAATTCAATACTCCCTCCATTATTGAGGGTAAAATCATCATTTACTTAATTAAATTGTAATATTTATGCATTCGTAAATTTGTTTCCTTTTTCATTTTGGACGGTTATTTTTGGGACGGAGGGTAAATCATCATTTAGTTTCTTATGCCTTTTTGTTTATGTACGCTTGGTAGTAGCATATATCGGAACTAATATGCATATTGTTTTGATGATGCTTTTAGGTTTGAGCTAGATATGTTGTTGGAGTCTGTGAGTTCAACTGCTAAGCGTGCTGAAGACTTGTTGAACAGCATTAACAACAAGTCCATCAACTCAGAGGTTCCCATCCGTATCGAGGAGCACTTCACAGGTGATTTAGTTGACCCTGAAGCAACTTTTTCCAGTAATTTGCACTAGAAGTATGCTGAAAGATGTATGGAGTGATGTAATTTGTTCTTATATTTGATATCGTTCTTTTGGCTATCTGTAGCTCTTGATTTGCGGTGCATTGAACGTCTATATGGTGATCATGGTCTCGATGTTATGGATATATTGCGTAGAAACCCAGCTCTTGCATTGCCTGTTATATTGACTCGCTTGAAACAAAAACAAGAGGACTGGACAAAGTGTCGATCAGACTTCAACAAGGTTTGGGCTGAAATATATGCGAAGAACCATTACAAGTCACTGGATCACCGAAGCTTCTATTTCAAGCAACAAGATTCAAAGAATCTGAGCACAAAATGTAAGTGAAATCTTGGTTTTAAGCATCATTATTCCTCGGTTGCTGTACTAATGTTCGCAGCTGGTTGTGTCTTCATATTAGATTCTTGTTTTTTATTGATCTTGATATCAGTTGTTTTGATGGGTTTTGAATTTGAAGAGTTTTTGCTTGTCTGTATGCACAGCCTTGGTGACCGAAATCAAAGAAATAAAGGAAAAAGGCCAGAAAGATGATGATGTGCTACTAAGTATTGCTGCTGGAAGCAGACACTATATCGTGCCGAATCTTGAGTTTGAATTCACGGACAAGGACATCCATGAAGACTTGTTAAAACTAATTAAATATTCATGTGAAGAAATTTGCACGACCAAGGAACAATTGAACAAAGTTTTACGGTTATGGACTACCTTCTTGGAGCCAATATTGGATGTTCCTTCTCGACCTCAAAATGTTGATGGTGCTGAAGATGCTGAGCTATCTAGTCATGGTGCTCCCAAAACTGCTAGTTTACGTCCACCTGAGATTAATGGAAGTCCAGGTGCTGATGATGCTACCATGAATCTTAAACAATCGAAACCAGATTGCAATGGGGTTCAAACTACATCGCCGGATAAGGTAGATCCAAGCAAGAACAGCTTAGTAAATGGAGATGCTTTGGCCAAGGAAGACAGATCTAGAACAGAGAGAGACTTTAAGAGCACGGTGGCTGGGGATAAAGTGTCAAACTCTAATGGATCATGGGCTTTGGCTGCACGAGCAACAGATTCTGGTCCAGCTTCTGTTATTGCAACCGACAACAGCCATGGCAGAATTACTGTAGATTTGTCTGGTTTGTATTCTTGTCATTTTGGGTGCGATTGGTACACAGCATGGGACAAAAACTACTTGTCCCACGTTTGGTGTGACATTAAGACGGGGACAGGACTGAGTTGCACAAAAAATGCACCAAAATAGGTGGAACAAAACTCAGAGAGGTGTGAGAAAATTGGTAAATTACTTAATAACTTAACTACCCATGCCAAATTAAAAAAAACTAAAACCTTGCAGCATTCTTTCACCCGCTAAAATAAGTGCCTCACTCTGTCCCGTCTAGTTCTGTCTAGTCCCATCTGTGTACCAAATGCATCCTACGATCTTTGTGAACATGATGCCTACATGTTTTTGTGTATCTATACAATTCGAGCCTAATTTTGAAAATTTGTTTTTAGGGCGTGAAGCAAGTGCTTGCAGACCTCATAATGTTACGGATGATGGTCATGAAGCCAAGTCCAAGATTGATAAAGTTCCTTCATCGCAGGTATGACCTCGAAAAAGATATTGCTGTTAGAGATCTGTTCTTTCTCTATCTTCAAAATTTTATTTTCTTTTTCCATTTTGACCGATAACGTTTGATGACGTAGATGTCAAGTTTATCGTCCACTTTGCTGGAACCGTCTCATAACCATTTTGTAATCAGATATCTATGCCATCAAATGTTACAAGATCAGCAGGTTACTGGTCAAAATGAGTACACAATAGGAAATTTGAAACTATGTTACATCGATTGAGAAAATAATTATTATTTACACCAACAGGAATCAAATTAAACTTCGTTGCATTTTCTTTTTATTTAAATCAGCTCTATATTTTGATATATTTGTTTTAATCTATAGCATCGGGATCTCCCAAGATCGTTACCAGTGGCAAATGGAGATTTTGCTGAAGTAGCCAAAGTTAAAAGGCATACTGAAGATTCTGCCGAGCCCTCCAAAATTGAGAAAGAAGAGGGTGAGTTATCACCTAATGGTGATTTCGATGAGGTTAATTTTGGTGCCTATGGAGATAATGGTTCACGTGCCAACACCAAACATAGTGTGGATCCCACACACTATCGAGCCGGTGTAGGGAGGATTGATGCAGATGCTGATGACGAGGACAGTGTGAATGTTTCTGAAGGCATGGATGTCTCCGGCAGTGAGTCTGCTGCTGATGAGTGTTCAAGGGAAGATCATGAAGAAGATGGCGACCGTGATGATCTTGATGGTAAAGCGGAGAGTGAAGGAGAGGCTGAAGGGATAGAGGATGCCAACTTTGTTGGTGAAAATGGAACATCTTTACCGCCATCGGAGCATTTTTTGCTAACTGCAAAGCCGTTGGCAAAGCGTGTAGCTTCTCCTTTATGCGATGGCGAAAGAAAAGATTCTCACGTCTTTTATGGAAACGACAGCTTTTACGTGCTTTTTAGGCTTCATCAAGTAAGCATGTAGTCCCTTCTTTTTTTTGGTTTTGGTTATGCTTTTTCTTGTATCTAATTCTATTTGTATGTTATTGCTTTCTACTAACCGGCTTTCCAAATCTTTATCATACCTGACTTCCTCTCTTTGTCACACTTTCACAAGTCAGGGTCTTCACAAAAACAACAGCCTACTCTATGGGGTAGAGGTCAGGTCTACATACATCTTAGGGCCTGTTTCTTAGCAGCTTAATGAGCTTAATGGGACTCTTAGCTTATTTGGTCAGCTTAATACATAGAAAGTGGCTTATTCAGTAAGCTTCTAGGGAGAGCTTTATGCAAAAAGCCAACTTCTTTTTAAAACTGCGCCTCCCAATTTAAAAACACGCTCCTTCCATCTATGAAAAAACCCTTCCAAACAAAAACCTTCCCAACCTATACAGACAGATAAATCCACACAGACAGCTTTATCCATGCAAGATTTGATTGCAAACCAACCAAACAGCCCCTTACCCTTCCCTGACCCTCACCTCTAGATGGGATATATGGGGTTCGTTTTTGGTTTTATCTGTTGTCCCAGCTTCTGCGGGAGATGGATTCTTTTCATTTATTTGCATCTCACATGATTGCCATGTCTGTTTATTCCAGGTATTATATGACCGGCTTGTGTCAGCTAAGCTCAATTCGACATCTGCTGAAATGAAATGGAGAAATTCGAAGGACACCTGCCCTCCTGATCTGTACTCCAGGTAGTTCAGTTGCACATCTTTATTACTTTCTCCTTCTCGAAACAAGTGTCCACAGTGAAAAGGACAGTCTTAGAAACGGGTAATTATTACACTTTTTGATTAGCTAAATGACAGTTTTACCATTAGTAATAGAGGGAGTAAGGAATTTCCCATCTCATAGTTAAGGGTACAATTGGAAATTATGCACTTACTTTTTGAAATTGGAAAATAGAAACCTGGATACTTATTTTGGGACGGAGGGATATTTACGCAAAATGTTAGATCCTATTACGACTCTATATTGTTGTCCTTTGCAGATTTATGAGTGCTCTATACAATTTGCTTGACGGGTCTGCTGACAACGCAAAATTTGAAGATGATTGTCGGGCCATTTTAGGAAATCAGTCTTACGTGCTATTTACATTGGACAAGTTGATTTATAAGCTCGTCAAACAGGCATGCAGGCGACTATGTTTGCTTTTACGTTCTTTGATTACCTTTCTAATTTAGAGGGTTCTGATTACTCCCTTCTGGATGCAGCTTCAAATCGTTGCTGGTGATGAGATGGACAACAAGCTTCTTCAACTATATGAGTATGAAAAATCTAGGAAACCCGAGAAGTTTGTTGACTCTGTATACTATGAAAATGCACACGTCCTCCTTCATGACGAGAACATATACAGATTTCAATGTGTAGGTCTTCTTTTCTTCTTTTTGTTGTTTTCACATATTTTTGTTGGGTGAGAGGTTTTGAATCCTTGACCTCCTGGGAGGCTGGCTCTACTTATAGCTCGAGTACTGTTATTGAGGGTTATTCGACATTTTTTGTTTCATGCTTTATTCTTTTTTTCCCTTGGGAATGAAGGTGTAACATCTCAGTCCAACCGTACCAGATATTGTCCGCTTTGTCCACATCTGGACTCACGGTTTTAAAACGCGGCTGATAGCGGACAGTCACTTATAAGGCAACCTTAGTTCCCCACCCCAATCAATGTGGGATCTCACAATCCACCCCCTTGGAGCCTAACGTCCTCGCTGGTACACCAGTCCGGTTCCCAGCTCATACCATTTGTAACATTCTAGACCAACCATACAAGATATTATCCGCTTTGTCCACACACCCGACTCAAGGTTCTAAAATGTGTCCCATAGTGGAGGTGTCCAGTCCCTTATAAGGCAGCTTTAGTTCTCCTCCCTAATCTATGTGGAATCTTACATGAGGTCTTCATGGAAGCAACCACTCTACTCTTTTGGGTGGAGGTCAGGTCTGAGTACATCCCACCCTTTGCGGACCACACCTCTGGAAGGAATTTACTGGGCTAGTTTGGTTTGTTTTATATATTGGCAAATGAGTTGTTTGGTTTTTTAATTTCTTATGTTTTGCAGTCATCTGGTCCAACTCGTTTAACCATCCAGCTGATGGATGATGGGAATGAAAAGCCTGAAGTCGTTGCGGTCTCTGTGGATCCTAATTTTGCAGCTTACCTTCACAATGATTTTCTTTCAATTGTGCCTGGAAGAAAGCAAGCTGGCATTTTTATGCATAGGTATTAATACTATCATCATTCTATATGTCTGCTCACACAAGCACCAGGGGAGTCTTCACGGAAACAGGGGCTCTACTCTTTGCGGTAGATGTCAAGTCTGTGTGCATCTCACCCCTCCCAGACCCTACTTTCGATTGGATTTTACTGGGTCTGTATGGTTCGGTTTGGTTTAATACTATCATCAGATTCCTTGTTCTACCATCGGTACCTGTTGGCATGGCAACGAAAATGAGAAAAAAAAACAGTTGGCGGGTTGGGCAGCATGCTTTGCATGCTTACATTGAGATCGAATTGCATTAAATTATTTCTAAGCCTAATGGTTAGATAAGTGCATTCGGTAGTAGTGGACCAAGTGTCTAGACTTCCATACCTTATTCTCACAATATGTCGCCTGAATTTCTAAGATGTTTAGGGTGCATGTGGTACTCGGAACAGCACAACACAGAACAAAAATTTGTTGTCTCATATTTGGTACAAAATTAGATGGAGACAGGACTGAGGGGGTGTTTAATTAGAGGTTTTAAGCAATCATCAATGGAATTGACTAGAAATAGGTAGAATTTTCTTTAGGTGTCATATATCTACGCATATTTTACTAGACATGATGTAATAATCGTTCTAAACTAGCTTCAGAGAATGATATGTCGATTCTAATGTTTATGCAGAAGTAAACGCCAATTTTCAGACCTAGATGAAGCTTCTGCCATGGAAGGTGCTGATGTGATCAATGGGTTGGAGTATAAGATGTCTTGTAGCTCATCAAAGGTATACATTCATCTCCTACACTTGTCTTGTAACGAAATCTTTGGACTTTTCACTCTATTTCGTTTTTCCAACTATGTTAATGTCCATTTTTCTGCACCTAATGATATTTACTTTTCTTCGGGTTTTTAATACCCGAGTCTTGTACATCCTTGTGTAAAGATTGCATTTACTACCAGCTAACCGCCTCTTACCGGGTAAGAGGTGCTTACCTGGTAAGAAAGGATGTTGTTTACTTAACACACTCTGACCGAAATGTTGACCTAGTAGGGGGGGGGGGTTTGCTTTCTGACTCAGCAAACAACCATTTTTAGTCAGAGGTTACCTAAACAATGACCGAGAAACTTACCTCGTAAGAGGCATAACAAGGACCAAGAATCTTACTCTACAAGGGAGGGCAAAGACTCTTACTAGGTAAGCGCTTACTAGAGAAAAGACGCTAACCAACAATCCATTTTGATGATTGAGAGTTTTTACTGGATACGGTAAGTCAGGGTGGTGAGTCTTGTCGGTAAGCGCTTACCCGACAAGGTTTTGGTATACGTCCCTTTACTCAGGTTGTGTTGGTAAACGGTCACTGAATTTCATTTCACAAGTTTCAGTCTAACGAGCATATATATTGCATTTGTGGTAAATTTATCGAGTATTTAATCAGTCGAGTGCTGGCAGATATCCTATGTTCTCGATACAGAAGACTACTTCTTCCGTATTAGAAGAAAAAGAAGAAAGCTCTCAGGAAGCGGTTCATCATCCTCCCGTAGCCACGCAAAAGTCGAACGATTTCACAGCTTTTTATCGGGCTCAGTTTGATAAAATGTTTCATGCCATTTTCTCGATGAACATCAAGGTACAGATCCTATACAGGACGTGTTCAAATAAGAACCCGTAAATATTTTGAAGAGTAAATTATGTTTTCGTCCCTGTGGTTTTCTAAAAAGTGCAACTTTCGTCCCTGTGGTTCTGAAATTCTGGCCTTTGTCCCTATGGTTTGCATTCGTTGCTATTTTCGTCCCTGAGGGTAACTCTTACCTTAAAGTATGAGGGAAGAAAAGAGCAAAGAATTGTAAACCACAAGGACGAATACAATAATAAATTGTAAATCAAATAAGGACGAAAACAATGGTCAATTGGATCCATGTTCTCAAAATATTTACAGTTCTCATTTGAACCCATTCGTATATCTTACATCCTCTAGCAAGATTGAATCTGATTAAGGGGTCGTTTACAAAACACTTACCTTGGTAAGCGTTTACCAGTTCAATTACCTTATTAGATAAACATAACAAGGACCGAGAATCTTACCTGGTAAGAGGGAAGACAGAGTGATGACTCTTACCCGGTAACACTTACTGTCAATCCATTTTGATGGCAAGAAATGTTACCGTATAAGGTAAGTGAGAGCGGTGACTCCTGCCGATAAGTGCTTACCCTGTAAGAGTTTGGTGAACAACCCCTAAGTTTCATTGTTGCCTCTTAGAAACACCAGTAAAACCGTATGTTATGTTGTTATTTTGTAGGAATTTAGCCCCAAACAACTCTTACCTACCCCCGGAGTCGTGATTATGATCCGTTGCCGGATTGATGGCAATCGAGAAGAAGGAACGGGTTGCGGGAAATGTAAACAAGTAGTAGTAAATCTGTGAAGTTTATATATGGAAATGAGTTATGTAAATAGATTTTAGAGGAAAATTTAATTGTTCAAGTGTTTGTAACATTAAAATGTGTCACAAAAATTAGAAGGATTTTTCTTTCCTTTTTTGGAAGGTGTTATGCTGGGAAACCCAGATTTGTACAGAGATTAGCTTTTACTATTTACATGTTCCAAATGTTTAACACAAATATTAATTTGTAACTTGATATTTTACTCTCCCTAATTAACTCTTTTTATTTTGGACAAATTGTATGAAAAAATAACGTACTTTTAATTTGATTCCTATTTTGTGTAATGTAGTTTCAAAACCTTTATTTTGGTACTTACTATGTAATGTTTTAAACGTTTAAGTACATGGGTAACTGGTTAACATGTTGATTGGACGAATAGCAAATAATACTTTGTTGGATACCAGAGTATTTTTCACATTAGGATGGTAAGCGGTTAATGCTTCAACCGGTTATCTGGGTATAAGGTACTTTTAACTTGATTCCTATTTTGTGCAACGTACTTTCAAAACTTTCATTTTGGTACTTACTATGTAATGTTTTAAATATTTAAGTACCCAGATAAATATTGAGTTGGATACCAGATCATTTTTCACATTAGGATGGTAAGCGGTTAATGCTTCAACCGGTTATCTGGGTACTTAAATATTTAAAACTTTACATCCAAAAATGAAAGTTTTAAAAGTATGTTATCTAAAATAGAAATCAAGTTAAAATACGTTACTTTTTCATGCAATTTAAACTTTTATTTTCTTTGATTTTGTCTTTACATATATCTTTATACCAGAAATCAAAAGGGTAATTCGCGAATTCTCAATTCAGAGACGGGAAAATGACCTAAACTTTTTCATATTTGTACAAAATGGCTAGTCAAATCGTAAAAAGGAATTCACTATTGGTGAACTGACATGCGTCACTTTGTAATTGTTTGAAGATTTCAGGATATCGACAAAAAACCCACAATTTGGTGATTTGGATGGAATTTTTTGTATTCTTTTAGGGTGGGTTTGGTGTCGAGACTTGACAGAACATGACATGATAGAACAACTGTTCAACGTTTGTTAAGATAAAACTGGACAGAACAGAACAAGTAGAATGACTAATTTACTCCTAATGAGTTGTTTATTTTAATTAATTTTATGTAATTTATTAAATTATAATAGAATAATTATTTTTTATAATCATTTGAAAGTTTTCCTGGGAACAATTAAAATGTCATCAAATAAAAAGTTTATGTAGTTTCCAATTTTTATTTTATCTCTTTTATACATTATTCATTATTATTAATATTACATAAATTAATAAAAATATAGAAACCGCATAAAAATAATATTTTGAGGACAGTAAAATGAAAGTTAAAGAAACATAAAACACAATAAATAAAATGTAAAGATGAGACCTATTTGATGTTTTAAAAGAAAATTGAGTTTTATATTGAGGTTATACTGGTAAAATATAAGTTTGTTTCAACTTGTTCCATCCTGTTTCATGGGGTAGGGGTGGAACAGGCATGTTCCACTTTGTTCCTGTCTGTTTCACATAAAAGTCAAGCCAAACATGGGACAAAGATTGTTTTGTTCTGTCCAATTTATCCAGTATACCAAACGCACAGAAGATTTCCACCTTTGACATTAATGGGAAAATTATTAATGACGAATTATTTTGGTGATTTAACTTGTCATTTTCGTGCAAATAAGAAAAAACTCAGACAATTTCACTTTCACTTTTTTTTAATGTATTTATGGTCATTTTAAAATACACCTAAACCAAATCAAGCTAACTTTAAGTATTTTATAGTTGTCTATATATCAAACTAAACTAAACTAAACTAAACTAAACCAATATATTCCGTTTGGAAAGTAGGATGTATAGCCATAGCCCATAGGTATGGAGGGCATTGTTGTCTTGAAAGTATGTGGTACCCACAAACTTTCATCCTTTTAGAAAATGTCTATATATCAAAAAACAAAAAATTATGATAATATAAGTTTAATGAACACTAAAAACTTGACTTACACATTACAATAATGTTGATTATATCATTAAAATATTTCATATATTTAAGTATATGTATTATGCAGTGTAATAAAAATAAAATAAACCGTTTGATTTTATGTAATATAATGAACTCAATTCCCTCACAAACCCAAATTTTCATTCTCGATTGAACTGGAAGAATGAAAATTCTTTCCCGTTTTCATTCATTGTAATTATTGTTTTTATTTCCCGTCCTAAACCAAATTCTCTCTTACACATTTGATAACATATTATCTCTCTCTCTCTCTTAAACATTAAATTTCACTATATGAACCACAAGAGTGATGTCCGATTGGTTTGAGTTTGTGCTCTAAAAGTTAAAAGTGTCTGGAAGTCTCACGTTCGAATCCAAGGAGGAATAAAATTCCCCTTGTGGCCACGTAGGTTCAAATGCGGTGACTCCAAATTATCCGCAAAACGGGTGATCGCCCTAGGATTAATCGGCTCACATAGCGAGTTGGATATCCAGGTTAATAAAAAAAACATGATATGAATATAATTAAAAAAAATAACTCGTTCTCATAGTAATCAAATTTACAAAGTTCTCCAAATTTAAAGATTTCACATTTTCTCCAAGATTTTGAAAAATACATTCCATATGGAACTCGTCGAAAATCCCCAACATCTTCATGTTTTCTCCGGTTCCAAGAATATGTTAGAGATGTTTGAATCACACTAAAATCCTTCTTATATATCAACATCGTTAGGAGCTCTATTTTTTTAAGTTATTAATTAATCAATTATTAATCGTAACATAATTCATTTGAAGTTTGATCACATTAAATCAAAACTATGTTTGCTAATTTATGTATCATTGAACTAATATACAAAAACAAAATCATTCTACAAAAAGCAAAGAAACGGTTTATTGAAATGTTGTTTATTGTTTCATAATAATCATTTTAATTTTATTATAAAGATTCAATATTAAATTTAATTATATTGTAATTCTAATAAATTATTAATTTATAATACCAAAGAAATCATAGTTTTATACATATTTTCTAAAGGTCAAATTTCATGAAAAATTAACATACTTTTAACTTGATTCCTATTTTGGATAACGTACTTTCAAAATTTCTATTTTGATACCTAAGATGTAAAGTTTTAAACATTTAAATACCCGGATAACCGGTTGAAAACATTAACCGGTTACCATGCTAATGTGGTGAGTAATGGGATGAAATTGGGTTGAATAACAAATAATACCGAGTTATATACCACATCACTCGCCACATCAGCATGGTAACCGGTTAATGCTTCAACTACTTACCGGACACTTAAATGTTTAAAACTTTACATCTTAGACATCAAAATAGAAGTTTCGAAAGCACGTTAACCAAAATAGAAATAAAGTTAAAATTACATTATTTTTTCATGTAATTTGTACATTTAAAAAATATATCATCTTTCAACTGCTGAAATTGGGATCGAATAAAAATTAACGTTAGATGGTTTATTAATTTAAATTATTATAATTATGAATTTTATTTGAAGAAAAGACAATTTTCTTTATTTTTATACTAAAGTTGTTTTAACTACATACACATCAACATCGAAACCCATTAATTATCCTGAATCAAGTTCAAACGAGAATGATAACCAAATAAAAGAACACGAGAATAACCAAATCACATGTGATTTTACACTAAACTCGTGTGTAGAATCACGTGATTACGTGTGACCGTGGTAATCCAAGGAACAGACTCTTGCCCAATCACTGATTATTACCGACCCAGCTTAGCCCTAAAACAACCCCATTAGAAAAACAAGGCCATACCTAAGTTCGAGATTCATTCAAGACACTAGAAACTAGAAAGATATTGGTTTCGAATCCTAAAGAGAGTAATAGACAGATGACAAAAGTTCTACACCGCATTGTAGCTCTTTTGGTCTTCAAGAAAATAAACGGTACACCTAAGGCCCCACAAGGGTGCATTTAGTACACAGACGAGGACGGACAAACAAGAGTTAGGTAGGCGTGAGTGGAAGAATTGTGAAGGGTTTTACGTTCAAAATTCAAATGAGTAGCTTAGTAATTTATCAATGTTGTCTCATTTCCCTAACTTTTGTTCCACCTATTTTGGTGGGACAAAAAAATGCACTTTTGTCCCACTCAGTCTCATGTGGCACTAAACGTGGGACAACAAGTTTATGTTCCAAACTGTCACGTCCTGTCACGTCCTGTCCTGTCCTAGTCTTATGTAGCGTATGACGTAGGACAACAAGTTATTGTTTTGTCCTATCCAATTCTGCATACCAAACACGCCCACTAGAGAACCGGGTTCCAGGTAACTAACCATCATCTAACTATAAACAGGGATATACAAGTACTTATGGTTGTAACTAAAAGGAGGTGTTAAACTATTGTTGCAGGCCTCTAAATTGTTCACATGACAATAAAAATGAAAAGCTTAATACAATCAAGAACATGGCATTGGATCATGACTTGATTGTAATCTGAACAAGTACCGAACGATTGACAGGAAACGTTGAAAAGGAAAAGCATATACATAGTTATACCTTTGTTTATTTTCATCACAGCAAGCCAACTGCACAACTCAGATGCACTCTGTTCTCCAATCCTCTCAAGTGATGACCCAATAGCATACACCTGTAAATGGAAAATTGTTCGTTGTTTAATTGCATAAACATACGCCAAATGTCGATGTAATAGACACTATAAAAATTTGCACAAAGGCAACAATGTGTTGATGCCACAACCAAACCAAACAGCTTATACCACCCCGAGGTGTCGGGGAGGGGTGGGATGTGGGTAGACGTGACCACCTAGAAGAGTAGAACGACTACCAAAGGGCCATTGGCCCAGCGGTACCCGAGTTACCAGTAGAACAGAGCCTCCCACGAGGTCAAGGGTTCAAACATCAACATAGGTGAGGTGTGTGTGTGGGTGGGTATCTGCTGTATATATTATATACTTCAAAGAAAGAGTAGACGAGTTTTTTCCATGAAGATCCCCGGCTGGTGCAAAGTTGTTAAATTTCATAAACATACACCAAATGTATATAGGAATGTATCAAACACTAAGCCCTTAGGGTGTTTTTGGTACTCACATGGGACGAGATAGGATGGGCGAGAGTGAGGTAAGCGGGTAAAAGAATTGTGCAAAATTTTATGGTTAATTCAGTAATTTACCAATCTTATCTCTGTCCTTGCTGTTTGTTGCACGTTGTCCCACTCAGACTAGGCACTGTGGCAGTCTAACGTTGCATCAGACGTGGGACAAGTTTATATTCAGTCTTGCGCCTCATCCTTTCCCATGTACCAAAAGTGTAGCTTGGTACGCGTACGGGACTGGATGAAACTGGACAGGACAAAACTAGAGGAAATTGGACAGGAAAGAGTAAGGTTGACGTATGGAAGGTTCTAGGATTTTAATTTGAGGGTAATTTAGTAATTTTTTTGTCTTATCACCCAGATTTTTGTTCCACCATTTTTTGGCAGGGCAAATACCTGTTTCATCCCGTCCCACGTAATAAACACACCCTAAATATATTGCACAAAAGTAACAACATTTAGATGGTACAACACTAACCAGAAAAGCAATTTCGCTAGGTAATCTCGTGAAGTCCCCATGGTGTCACAGAAGTCATCGTTAACATTTGGGTAGTTTTCTTGGCTTCCAACATCCAAATCTCCTGTTGAGTCAGAGGTCGTCTCTTCCTTGAAGAATTTCCGGGATGTACACTGTACAAGTTCTTGTATAACCTCCTCTACCTCTGAAGATGATGGCCGGGATAGTTCATTCACCTGTTCCAACAAGATGGTTGAAAATGAACTGGTTCCCTTTCACTAGCTTAAGGAGGATTGATTACAATAACAATTATGAGATCAAGATAATTACCATATCGGGATCCAATGACCGCAAGTACTTCAAAAGATCGTTATCACTTTCTCTTGTATTTTCAATTTGCATATTTTCCTGTTTCCTAGCATGCAGTTCCTAAGAAGAAAGAGTAACAAACAATCAGCAAAATAGGTGCTTCGAGCTCTATGATGGAAAAGATGCAATCTCTCAAACATACAAACTAGAAGAATCGATGGTCATTCCTTCTCTAATAATTTATTTCCTCTGTTTGGCTAAAGGTTCACGAAAATACAAATTGATCATCTTAACTGACTTTCTTAAAAATATTAAGGAGTTGTTTACTACCTGGCTACCTGCTTACCGCCTCGTACCAGGTAAACTAAGGAAGGGACTCTTGCTCGGTCAGTGACTAGTGTTGACCCAGATCACACGCTTACCCTATTTGTGTTGGTAAACGACCCCCCAAGTCCGCAGTATCAGTTATCCCAGCCCCCATCCCCTCAGGGGAGAAAAAAGGGCAAAAAATCCACGATCTAACACAGATGCAGGCTAGCCTAAGTTATGGCTTGGAAGAATACAAGTTTGGATGAGGTATAGTTGTTCAGTATGGTGCATAATGGATACAATGTGAGAAACATGTCAGCTTGAGTGGCGAATGAGAAATCACCATGTTTGATTCTGTGATTCTTGAAGCATCACCAAAGGAACCAACTTCCATTAAAGTTCTTTAAGCACCTAAAGATGCATAAAGGCCATTCTATCTAACTTTCAGGAAACGGTTCCATACCATCCTTTTGTTTATAGTGGTCACCAATCTTCATAAATATCATCTCAAAATCTGAAACACTCGCACAAATGTATGCACTTCTACTCGGTCATATCATTATTCTTCACCAGTTTATTTGTGAAAATGAGCCCTTATTACAGCCCATGATACCAAATGGTCAAAATCAGCTTTTTTTTTTTGCACCATATATCCGCCCCAAACAGACATAAGGTCAAAAATACATAAGATTCGGGCGCATAGGTGTTGTGGACTTCTAGCAGGCATAAGAGGGTATAGCTTCAAAGGTTTGTCGGGGTTTCACTACTCAGCTATAGAGTAACAATTGCAGCAAGGCAATTTGTGGGTTGCAGGCTTGCAGCTTAAGATCATTTTTGGCAACCAAAAGCTAGCTTACCTTTTAAACGCATTGAAAGAGCCCCATTTGGTTTAGCCATAAGCTCTCTTATAAGCTAGCTTTTCGAACACTACTGTAATTAGCGTTTCAATAAACTCCAGGAGCTTTATTCCACTTTTTCCCAATTATGCCGCTTAAAATTTTCAAATTAAACTTTCAGCGTGTCCTTTTAGTACATTTTATATTGTCATCTAGCTACTCTGCTAGTTTTTATCAAACATGACTAGTTTAACAACCAACAACTAGCTTATCAGCTAGTTTCCCATAGCCTACCTATGCCATGGTTCAAACAGTCATGGCAATCATATTTAAGTTGTGTAACCCTCAAATTAGAAGATATAGTCTTAGCATTTAAGAGACATTTTATGTAAACCTTTCATCTTCTTTTTGCTAATTTATGGCAGCACTAACATTCTAACAACCAGGTATATGAACTGTTGGCATGAGCAAAAGCTGAGATGTCTAAGGTTTACAAACAATTAGTTTAACAGAGTAGGACGTTTAGGCCTAGCAAAGGATGATATAACCATAAAATAAATCTTGTCGAGAGTCAAGGTACAAATATGAAACTCTATGAGAAAGATAAGTTGAAATTGCAGATAATAGCCACAAAGTGCCTAACCTTCTTGGCGAAAGATAGCTCTGACTCCAAACGCTGGATGTAATTCATAGCTTCAGGAGCCAAATCACCCAAACAATTTTGGAGATTTAATCTCTCGGATTCTTCGGTACAACACTCCATCACGACACTATCACACAAGCATTCGCTTGTCTCAACCTTCTCCTCTGAAACCTCATCATCCTCACCAGAATTCTGCGATTTCGAATCATCGGAAGGAGAAATTTCAAAGTTCCTCATCAACATAATCCTATACTCAGCATTCCACAAAGTATACCTAAAAACCACACATCAATCCAATCATTAAGCGATCATGCAGATAAATCCACAAACTAGATCAATCAAATGTCGGAATTAATAAACAAAAGCACGGAGAATTATAATTTACCCTGTAATCAACGAAGACGACAATAACCGATCGAGAGGGCGTTTCGAAACTCTGACCATAACAGAGAACTGATCCGATGGAAGCAAACCTAGCATCGTCGAAATAGTCTGCTTCATAGAGTCCTTAGCGGAATCTGAAACACCTTTGGAAATCACCGAAGTATCCAATGGCTCGATCTTCTTCAACATGTTAGCGATAACAGAGAATTCACGGTCGAAGGAAACGGACCTTCGAGTGGATACAAAGTCATCGGAGACTCCACCCCCATCTACTCCGGAGATAAGACAGCTAACAATAGCAAGAGAAGCTGGACGTTTCTTCGAGGCGCTGGTGGCTGAGATGGACGGCGTCAATGGACGGATGAGGAGGTGGTGCGAGTACGGCGGTGGTTGGTGGTGTTGTAGGAGTGAGAGGTCGGCGAATCGAGAGAGCAAGAAGGCCCTGGAGGAAGCTGCCGCCATTAATGTCTCAGGCGAAGCTCTCAACTTGGAATCTAACTTCTTCTCGATCGTCCACAACTAATCCCCTTTGCTTGTCTTTGTTCGCTTGTGAATGGCCATGTTTATTACAATGCCCTTGTGAATTGACTTCATTTACAGATTTGCCATTAGCATTTTCTATAAAGCATTCCCAACCACCGTATTATAATATTAGACAAATTGCAACTTAATTACGTATTTTTAAATTTTCTATTATAATATTTAAAATATAAAGTTTTAAACATTTAAGTATTCGGATAAACGGTTGAAGCATTAACCAGTTATCATGTTTATATGACGAATAGGTATATATGTTCAAATTAACCATCCAATGTTGTAAAAACAGGTAAATCATTTAATTTAGCTCTATGGTTAAATAATTGGAAAATAACATAATAAAATAGACTCAAAGTTGAGATGAAAGGCAAAATAAACTACTTAAAAATAAATAAAAAATAGATGCTTTATAACTTTAATAATCAATGCATATCATGTATATTAAAACATTACGTACATATATTATAATATAATATATTTTTTTTCAAAAAATTCAATATCAAGATTTCACCTTTTGAACAGTTTCTCAATTTTCCTCATATTTTCTCCATTTTAAAGAAAATATGAGAAAAGTAAAAGAAAATTTGTTCAAAATCTATATACTTCATTTTTATAGAATCTGTTGGAGATACATTTAATGTATCTTCAACAGATTTAATAAAATGGAGAATCAAAAATCAAAAATCTCCATTTTAAATTACAATATTAATTATATATTAAAATATTAAATACAATTTGTAAAATATTATTTCTCGTTACTAAACATTTAATTTATAAGATTCCGGAATAATTTAAAAAAATCGTTTTTACAAGCAATTATTTTCTAAGAAATATCCAAAAATCCCCATAATCATTTCTTTCTCCTACTTTCTCTATTTTGAAGATGGTTTTGTATAATTCATTAGAATAAAAAGAGCAAATTGCATGAAAAAGTAACGTACTTTAACTTAATTCCTATTTTGGCTAACGTACTTTTAAAACTTTCATTTTGACAACTAAGATGTAAAGTTTTAAATATTTAACTATCCGAGTAACCAGTTGAAGCATTAACCGGTTATCATACTGATATGACGACTAACGAGTGATGTGGTATTCAACTCACTATTATTTGTTGACGTGGTTAGTGACATGTATTTTTTTTAATCTAAGATTAGTCTTCAACCAGTTACATGAGTACTTAAATGTTTAAAACTTTACATCTTAGGTACCAAAATAAAAGTTTTGAATGTACGTTACCAAAAATAGGAATCAAGTTAAAAATACGTTACTTTTTTTATGCAATTTGTACGAACAAAAATCACCAAAATCTTCACTTGAAAAAAACCTCATACAATTGAACTTCTCAAGGGGTTGTTTGAAGTTATTGAATGGTTTGACGCAAAATGCTTAAGTAATCAGAATGATTAAGAGACTTTCATGATATATTACAAAATGAAATACAATTGTTCAATAACTGTTTACAATGGAATTAGGGCGCTAAATGGTTAAAGGAGACCCAAAAAACAAAAACATTCAGAGATTTTTAAAACAATTAAAAAACAGACTTTTTATTATCAAACAAGATTCACCTCTTAATAATTCAGAGACAAAACTAGAAGTAACCCATCATAAAATAAATATTTTTATATATGAAATCAATCACAAAAATAGTCAAAAACTAGAAGTAACCCACCACAAAAATAACCATTTTTTTTTCAAATTAGTACAAAACCTTAAACAAAAACCCTTTTTTAAACAATATCATTTTTAAAAAAATCGATTTTTTTAACTATATAATATTTATATACACAAATGTAACAAATAAACTCACACACTCTTCTTATTTTTTTTATAAAGTTTAAACCTCTGATCTCATAAGAGGCCAAAAACTACGATATTGTTAGGCCAAAGGCCATTTGATAAAAAAAAAAAAAAATGATTCTATGTGCCCAATTCACAAGAAAAAAAAAAGTGAAGAAAAAACGATCTTTTTTACAAACGCTTACCACCTCTAATTGATTAAAGAGAACACAGCCGCTCAACCCAGATAGGCTTTAGTGTTTTGACTAATTGAAAGTCAGGTTCTTTTTAAAATCTTACGAAACTGACAGCTTTTCTAATTTTTTGGGCAACACGAACCCATATATAAAAAATATGTCTAAAAAATACATTTTTCAAAAAAAATAATACTCTTTACGAAATAAAATGTTATTTAATTCTAATTACAAAAAATAAATCTAGTGTTAACCATAATTGTAAGGCGGATTGGCGAAGAAATTATTTGTTTATTTCTTAATAGTTCCATTAAGATGAAAAACTTCTGAATCGTTAAAAGGTGAATTTTCTTTAGTTGTTTGGCAGAAAAAAAATATGTCACTTAATAGTTTTAAAACCCTTTAAACGATTTGTATCTTGAATCTCTGTTAACCATTCAGTATCCTAATTTCATTATGCACAATTATCAAACAATTATATTTTATTTTATACTATATCATAAAAACCTCTTTTTTATTTAATTATATAATTAATTTATTTATATTATTAAAAGTAGAAAAATATATTAAAAATACGAAATTCAAAATAAAAAAAAGGAGCCACTAGTTGAGCTCCTTTGGGCCAATGAGAATAAAAAAGGGACCCGACGACCATCCGTTTGCTTGGACCAACACATTTTCGTAAATTACCATAATATCCTTGTCTCATAACATAAAATATTTTGAGTGTAATGTATTTCATCCTGTAGATTGGGTTTTGATAAGAATAAGAGCTAAGGTGAGAAACGTAAAAAGAATTTTCCATCATTGAATGCATATTAGAATTAGATTCAACAAATCAATCTATGTATCAAATACGATTTATAGATGAGTTTGAAATTAAAGATGATCAAGAGAGCAGATCTATTCTTATGTTTCTCATCTAAACTCTTATTTTCACAAGATCCTTTGCCTTTAGACTATATGCATATACACATATAGAGAATCGGGTACATATAGAATGATACTTAAACAAAAAAAATAGTCAACTCACATGTGATTCATGTGACTTTTGGCTACGACCTGAGGTCGCAGACCAAGTCTCCACCACTCTCTTTTGTTGACCGTTAATGTAAAATAAATGTGATTTAACTTTTTTTTTATTTAGTTACTATTCTCGTTTGAACCTCTCTCCCTATCTCTCTCTCTCTACATATATATACATATGTATACACACACACCATGGTTTTGAATAACTCATTATAGAGCGATATGGCGTCAAGGTTTGGGTTCAACGTCACATCAACCCTTGTGACTCAACTGCAAAGCCTTGGCTTGAATTGTTACGACAGATTATTTTGTAAGGTGTAGGGTAATTTTCAATATATAACATTAAGGATAAATGATAATTGAGTACAAAACCAAAGACTTAAATAAACATAAAATAAGAAAACTTAAAACTAAAAACCGTAAATAGGTAAATACTTACTCTTATTCTCATTCACAAAGAGTCAAATACAAATTCTTTGAAAACTGAAGTAGTGATAGAGATTCAAGAGATTTAATCCTGATTTTGCACTTTCGATATCGTTTTTTATAAGCTTTATGTATTTTTCTTTAAATTTCAAAGAAAAACCTTTAAGAACACAAGGTTCTAAATAAGAGAACAAAAAAGGTCATATCACATGTGATTTACATTGAAATCATCAAATAGATTACAACACGACATTGGCCACAACCATTACATTGATCTCATTATCACATCTGATAAATTTAGTTATTCTCATGTTCTCTTATTTTGACCATGTTCTCATTTGAACCTTTCAATAATATATTGGGTTAAATTTAAGTGAGAAGAAGAGTTAATGTGATATATATAAGAATAGACCACCCTTGAATGCAAATTAAAAAAAGATATTATTTGACCATTAATGTAAAATCATGTGATTTTCTTCATAATTTGCTAGTTTTAGTGTTCTTTTAAATAAGCATCATTCTTATTTGATCCTCTCTCTCTCTCTCTCTCTCTCTCTATATATATATATATATATATATATAAGTCAATTCAAGGAAAAACTGACTAGTTTGTGATAACCATGAGATCCAATCTCAACCACAAATCAATAGATAAATTAGAAAATTTATAATTTTGAATTAAAACTTTAATGCTAGAACATTTTAGGTATTTGACTATTTTCTATCATCTCTCCCCGTCCTCCGGTGATACCTAAAAATATTGACTCTGTTAAACAAAAGATACAGTGTGATACCCAAACATATATAAGATACATTGTGATACCATTGTGTTACATCTCCGATCAACCACACAAACGACCTCAATGTGATACCCAAGCATATATATGATACATTGTGATACCATTGTGTTACATCTCCGATCAACCACACAAACGACCTCAATGTGATACCCAAGCATATATATGATACATTGTGATACCATTGTGGTATCACCGGTGAACGGTGGCCAAAGAGAGAAGAGAGGAGAGAGGAGAGAAGAGAGTTTTAAAATACCAAAAATGTCCTTGCATTAAAATTTTAATTCAAAATTACCAAAATTATAAATTTCCTAATTTATCTATTGATTTGTGGTTGAGATTAAATCTCACGATTATCACAAACTATTTAGTTCTCATTTGATTAAGCTTCTATTTATATATATATATATATATATATATATCATAAATCAAATACAAACAATGCAAAATTACAAACCAATCTCAACTAGCCATCTAGTTTAATGAATGTCTAATTTTATAAATATGTCGTTTGTTTCCTAATATAAAGTGTTAATCACAATTAATGAACTCTAATCATTCTCATAAATATCTTATTTGATTGGTTTGCATGGTTTATAACTTTTGCATGATTTATATTTGATTTGTTCTCCCTCTCTCTCTCTCTATATATAATTTGAAAACAGTACAACAATGTAGACTGGAAGAAAACCTGGACTCATTATTAAGATTGGGAATGAGATTTTATTCCACATAAGAGATCAAAGGACACGAAGGGGGATTGAGGTCCCACTCCCACGTACCCCCACCCCGTTTCCATCTCTAAACAAAATCTCATATTCTAGTATTAGAAAACACTGATCAAAATTTAGAATCAAGCAATTTCTAAGGCAAGAAAGAATCCTAAAATCTATGAAAGAGGTTTACATAACTAACCACATTACTGTCATTAAACTGTACCAAATCCTGTGGGGTAAATACAACCTAAACCTAAACCTAAACCTAAATTGGTGCATTAAGGGTATATGCACCCAACACATCTGTTTTCAACACCCAAATAGCCAGCAATTTTTTTTGCCTAAGTGTTAAAAATCAGATCAAGATTTATGAAACTGGTTGTACCTGTTTCTTCTCAGCTGCTTCAGCATACCATGACTTCCAGGCCTCAGCATAGTGCCCAAATAGGTCTCCCAAAACTGTCATATTATCGACCAAACATATGTTGTCATTGTCTGTCCGTTTTGAGTGCGTTTGGTAAGTGGAAGAGAATCGAAAGGATTGGATAGACAAGACTGAGTGCGTTTGACCCACCAGGTCCAGTCATGTCCCAATCAAATTCAAATCAAACGTGGGACGACAATTTTTTGTTCTATCGTGTTCCACGTATCAAACGCACCCATACTATACGAGGCAAGAAGGCTTATCATAAGATTCAAAAATGTACCTTTATTACGATACTGAGGACGATAAGTATCAGCCAGATTCTCCCAGTCCTGAGCCTGCTTTATCTTCTTGTTTCCAGAGGGTCCGATCTTGTGTGCAGTGGCGGGGGTGAACGGGCCAAAGACGAATTCCTTTGAGTTGCATTGAGGAGGCATTGTCAAGTTCTCATCACATTCAACCTTCACGCTGTCAAGATTCATATGCATTGCCACAGACACCTCTTTTGAACTCCAATCAGAAAAAGAATCTATCCTGTGTCTTTTTGAATCATCATGGTTTGTGATATCTGTTCCAAAAGCTCTCCTTTTTGAGTTGTTTGTATCCAATGTTTGGGATTTAGTCTTTGGATCTCCTTTCAATCCCAACCATCTAAATGCTGGTTTTCCACTCTCAGGGTGACGCATCTTTAAAGGAAAAGCAGAAACATTTTCAGATACACCAAAGCAAACCATACAAGCTCAGTATTTCCCACCAGGAGCTTGGATCTTGTGGGTGGGATTTAGGCAGACTGAGTTCTACCCGAAGAGTAGAGCGGTTGTATTCATAAAGAACAGGGCTTGTGCAAAGTGTGCAAAAAGAAAAGAGAAAGCTTGCTCAAAAGTATGCAAAACTAAGACCTGAGAACTTGAAAGTATAAAAGGCGGTGCTACAATTTGAAAACGAGTTAGAGCAAGCAAAGAGTACAAGTTACCTTCTCAAGGAGATTCATGGATGAAAAAACATTTGCAATGTCATATAAACGCCTGACTTTTGCTGCATACACAGAATGTCAGGCTTAAGTCTGAGTTTTGTACCATTTTTCACCACATAAAAGATAAAATAGTATAAAGACGATTGAAGCTCGATTACTTCTCATCACTGTCAGATAATGTGGAACCTCAAATTAAACTCCAAAAGAGCCATTGAAGAGAAAATAGAGGTTTCATCATATACAGAGGAGAAATGGTCCAAATCTAGCCGATGTGGGACTCTGACACACCCCCTCCAACAGATAGACGGAAGAATTGTCCCAGTGTCTAGAGGAGGCAAGAAGAGTCCTTAAAGTGGTACGTAGACGATGTCTCTAGTACTATGTGAGAATATGTAGAACCTCATATTAATCTCCAAAAGGGCCCTTGAGGGGAGGAGAGATTTCATCATATATAGAGAAGAAATGGTCCAAGTCTATGTGGGCCTCTGAACAATCACAACCACAAGTGAAAGTTCAATTGGCATCAACTGTTTCCATGAAGTTTTAAGTGACGTGCTTAAGCTCATGAGAGCCAACTGATTGCCTCCCGATATCACATAAATAAGTCAATAAATTTAGTTGGAAAAATTACTTCTCATGGCTGTTGGGTCGTGTATGTCACCCAACAATGCTGTTGCAGCAGTGTCCAAGGAGATCAAGTCTGCCTGAAGATATAAAGAGTGTGTTTAGGTGGAGTTTGGATAACAAAAAATAAACAATTTTACATGCTGTAAAAGTACACTTTTATTGACAGGTTTACTCACATTAGAAGAGATGAATAGCTTGATGAAATTCTGAGTCAGAAGTCCTAGTGACTTTTCCTTCCTGTTATTCTCTGAAAATGAAAATTCAGACACCCAGTTACAGATATATTACAGTAATAGATACTAGAAACATGATACATCATATAGTAGATTACATCTCAATGCTATCCAACCCTTTAAGAGTTATGATTTGCATGATGTATATAACTGAGAATGGGTAAACTGGTAAGGATAAACTGAATAAATTAAGAGAACTAAAAGCAAATCAACTCACCGCTTTTAGAAGATCCTGATGATTTGGTGTGTCTGTCAGTGTTTGAGTTGTTTGAGTTAGAAGGCCCACGACAATCGTTCTCATTTAAAACCTGCAATGAGAATCCATGTTTTTAAGTAAACTTCGAACAAAAGCCCCATCATAAGCTAACTTGCAGTTCAATTGCTAAAAAATGTCAATGGGTTAAAGAAAATCCCGTTGCCGCTTTAATAAATTGGTCTTATCGTGCTATTTCGGCAAAAAGTTGATTACCAATACAACTCCCCCATGGGCACGACATATGAGGAGACATTTCGTAAGATAACTCGCCGGCCAAGACAAGAGAAGGGATTCAAACCTGAATCTATTATGTATTTGGGCAAAGTAACCCCACCCCTTTGCCAACCGAACTACACGCCCAAAGCAGTCTTATCATACAATAGTCCAAATAATTTCAACAGATATCACATGTGAGAATTTAGAAAACCCTCAATTTTAACATGGAGAACTTACGGTTCCAAAACTGCAGTATTGTGAGCCTCTGGAGTTCTCATTAGATGCCTGTTTCTAGAAGTGAATGCACATACAAAATTTCAGAATCCAATCGTTCATGTTAAAGTTTTGATTCATCATACCAACACAAACAGATTAAGATCATAAACATGTATTTAAACATACCCTAAGCTCTTCCAACGCATATGGAATTGCATTAAAACCCTTCCACGTATACTGATTCTTTGCTTTCCTTGTCAAAACCTGAAAATTAGACAAAATTAACAACAAACAAAACCCTAAAACGCCTATACAATATACACACCTATTCATCGGAAACTCAAAAACAACACAACGATGTATAGCGGAAAGAGTCAAAGACCTTACCCCAACACTTTCTAATATGTTAACAATGTCGTAAATTCGCCGCCTCTCAACACCTGTAGTTTCCAAGATCCTTTAATCCTCTGTTTCTTTTCTTCAGTATAATTAACAAAAATCATAATCAAACATGAATTTGAGGCGAAAACCTAATTGACTTGCCGCGTTGTCTAATCCAATCGATTCAACACCATCTCGATTATACAACCTCAGAAAACTGAAGAATATTCAATCTCAAATCGTTATATATGAAGCAAATTTAGATCTAAACAGTGAATATGACATGAGAAGGTGTAAAGAGAAAGGTTAAAATGAGTAAATACTTGGAGCATAAAACGCCAAGAGATTTCTCTTTTCGACTGTAAAGAGAAGGATTTTTAGTTTCGGTATCATGCAGTGACGCCATGGATGGAAATCCTTCTCGAACTCAGCTGGATTCGATGAATTTGATCTTCGTTTTTGTTTGAAGCTTCGTTTCAATGGCGGGATCGAGAATTCAAATTGGGGTTTTTTCTCGATCCCGATTGAGTTGGTGGCCAAAAGTAGAAAAACACCGATTTGAACCGGGCCGCGGGAATTTGAATACGAAACGATGCGCGGCTTCCCATGCTTGACGTTTATTATTTATTTTTTATTTTAATTTTAATTTTGAATCTCCAAATTTGTTTATTTAATTTTCTTTTATTAACCTAAATATTTCACCCGTTATACGAGCCGGCTAATCCCAGGACGACCACCTGTTTTGCAGATAGCCTAGAGTTACCACATTTGAACCTCCGTGGCCACAAAGGGAGTTTTATTCCTCCTTGAATTTGAACTTGGGACCTCCTGGTACTTTTGACCTTTGGAGTCAAGCTCAAACCAATCAGGAACCACTCTTGTCTATCAAAATATAAAGAGGTCTACGTGATATCTTATATATAGACTTGGGATCACGTAATATCTATGTTGTTACAGCAGTGAAAATACAAAATTATGGTCGGGACCGATATTTGAAATAGCGGTTATAGTGATGGTATAACGGTCTAAAAATAGCGATTTATATAATATTTCATATAATTATATATATAATATGCCTACATAAACATATCATTTGCAAAATAGGAAAAGTGTTCATAAACAAACGAATTGCAAGCAATAGGTTCAGCATTTGAATCAACATCGTCTAATACATTCACTTCTTCATTTAGGCTAGCTTACACTCTTCCCCTCCCCTCCGTGGTATTATGTTATTAAACCCACTTAATATCTGTTTATGTTATTAAACCCAACTAAAACACAAAATAATAATCATCAGAGCATATCTTGATTTATCTTTTTGTTTGTTATATATAATATTTTTCTAGCCTAAGTAAAACTTGAGTTCATTTTTTTTATTAACCTGGATATCCAACCCGTTATGCGAGCCGCCTAATCCCAATGCGACCACCTGCTTTGCAGATAGCTCGGAGTCACCGTATTTGAACCTCCATAGCCACAAGGGGGTTTTTATTCCTCCTTGGATTTGAACACGAGACCTCCTGATACTTTTGACATTCGGAGTCAAGCTCAAACCAATCAGGCACCATCTTTGTGGTTAACTTGAGTTCATTTTTGTCTTGGTGTACTAGCAACCCTTCCTTTCTATGGAAAAATATATAAAGGTAAAGAGAGAGAGAGAGAGAGAGGAGAAAAAAATGAAGAAATCAATTCAAGATAAAAAGTTAAGTTGACGAAACAGTGGTAAGATGTTAACATATACATCTTTTGGACAACTCCATCTCAATTGTCACATATTTTTATAAACCGAGCCCACAAAAACAGACAAAAAACCCTAACATATATTTTCACAACAAATAACGACCTCAATTAGTAATCACATTCATAGATCTTGATTCATATGTTTTTGAGTGTAGGTTTGGTGTGCTGAGAGAAATGAGAAACATATTTGATAGAAAAGTGGGTAAATAAACCCTTACATGGTTCCTTTATATATGATTTCTCGCACGGATCTTGACAGGGAATCTGGTTACAGACGGAGCTAAATCATGTGTTCGGAGAAGAAAATACGGTGGCAAGGAAGATAACTGTATTAGGTAATAATAAGTCAAGACATTTAATGTCTTGTCTTAATTAATAAATAAATACAACTAATGGATGATTAATAAATCAAGACAAATTGGTTTATGGAGAAAAAATAAAACTGACATAAACGTGGTATCAATAAGTCAAGAAAATTAATGTGTTAATTAATAAAATAAGACATTAATGGGTAACTAATAAACCAAGACAATTAGTAGGTAATAAATAAATTAAGAAAATGGTTTCGAAAGAAAGAAAATAAAAAAAGACATAAATTAGGGTGCGTTTGGTACACTGGACAGGGACAGAACACAACAGGACATGGATCTCTGTCCCATGTTTGACATGAATTTTATGTGGAACAGACAAGAATAGAGTGAAAACAGACCTGTTCCACCCCTACCCTATGGAACAGGGTGAAACAAGGTGGAACAGACTTGTATTTTATCAATATAACCTCAAAATACAATTTAATTATCTTTTAAAACATCAAATAGGTCCTTTTTTTTACATTTTATTCATTCTTTAACTTTTATTTATTGTATTTTATGTTTCTTAAATTTTCATTTTACTGTCCTCAAAATAATATTTTTATACGGTTTCTATATTTTTATTAATTTATGTAATTTATTATATATTAATAATAAAAAATAATGTAGAAAAAAGATAAAAATAAAAATAGAAAACTACATAAACTTTTTTATTTGGTGTCATTTTAATTGTTTTGACGAAAACTTCAAATGATGTATTTTGTTATAAAAAATAGTTATTCTATTATAATTTAATAAATTACATAAATTAATTAAGATGAACAACTCATCAGGGGTAAAGTGGTCACTTTACTTGTTATGTTTTGTCCAATTATATCTTACCAAATGTTGAACAGTTGTTCTATCATATCATGTCCAGTCCAGTCTTGTCTTGTCTTGACACCAAACACACCCTTAAGAAATAAGTAAAGAAGCAATATCATGATTTGGAAATGGCACGTCATCTTTCAAATATTTTGTTTAGATACATAGATGATTGATTTTTTTTTCCATCAACAAGTGTAACAAACATTTAGAGTTTTTCTGTTTTGTACGTATTTAGACTTTTAGCTGATAATCCGTGTAATTACTGACAACGCAAATATCAAACAACCATGTTATCTTGTAGTTATTTATCATGTGACGATATCACATCAAAATCAACCGATACCATGAAAGTTGAAATTCGTTTATCAAATTAAATGCGTATATAATGGAGTGAATTGAACATTTAGCAAACTAAATTGAAAGAAACCAGTGTTACACCAGATAAAAACTAAGACGGATTTTATTAAAGTTTTTTATAAATTCACCATTATCTATTTTTTATGTTTTTCAGATATTTTAACATGAGGAGTGTTTGGGATTGCTTATTTGAAACAACCTATGCGTTTTCTATAAAAGTATTTATCAACTTATTATAAGTTATAATGGTTTAACTTCTTCAAAAATCTTTACTACCGGTTTGACACCGGTATAAATTGTTTATCCAAACATTCAAAAGTGCTTATTACCGGTATCACACTGAAATAAATCAATAAGTTGTTTTTATAAGCAATTTCAAACACCTATAAACACTTCAATAAGGATATTCATCCAATATCTTGATCCAATTTTCAATAAGTTAATCTACAACTTTAATCAATTATTCATATGTTTTCTTAATTTATTTAAAAGGCGACATACAAATATCAAAATAAAAACAATTACGTAAATTATTGTTATACATTATATTATATTATAAAGTATTCGACAAAAACTCTTAAAAACATCTTTTATACATGAATAATTGCTTATTGATGCATATTACTTAAAATGCAAGATTACAAGTAATTGTTCGTAAATACAATTTGTTAAGCTCCATGTTTGAATTTATGCAACTAACTATGTATAAATATAATCAAATACAAGATAAAATTTTAATTTTTAAATATAAAATCTAAAATATAATTAGAATTATCATTGAATTTTTAACAAAATACTTATCGTTATGAAAAATATTAAACCAAAAATAAATTACTTTTTCATTAAACCTAAAATTAAATTACAATAAAAAAACTGAATTAAAGAAATTACACAAAAAATAAGAACTTTTATATATTTTTTTAATTTTTATGATATCTTCAAATTTATATTTTATTAAGAAAAACATTATTGCTTGCTCAAAACCACATAAATTCATATTAATCAACAAAGACCAAAGAAATAAAATAAAGCATTGAAATCAAGATATATCTCGTTGCATTGCACGAGTACTCTTATAGTATACATATTAATCAGATGGTTATTTGATGGAATCGGTTTGGTTTCATTGAATATGAACTGCTATTTAAGAACCGACCGATCCCATTTGAATGTTGGAATTTTAGATTTGATCCAATCCAAATATAGTCTGTCGGTTCTAATTGGATCGGTCGGCTTTGGTTAGACGGGATGACTTTCTATACATTAAAAAAAAAAGAGTGCCATTTCTATTGAAGTTCTACAACATAAACCAACTTTGTGCCCATAAAATCTACCATCACTTCCCATCCAATTGGTACATATAATCGTTACGGGCCGTTTCGGTTCACGAAATACGTCAAAGGAGTATTCCGAGCAAGATCGTGAATTTGATCAACCGATGAACCAAACCCCCCTAATTGTCATCACATTAACTGTATATTGTTAAAACTGTAAAACAACCAAGAAAATGCACCTCTAGTTTTGCCAAAATCCATTAAACTTGTTTACACCTTTAGTAGTAAGAAATCACACATCACTACCGCGATGCAGGCGGCTCGGTTTCAATATATACCTGTTTCCGCTTTCAGCCACCACCTCTTGCCGCCGCCACCAATTCAATATAGCATTAAGACCGTATAACTTACAGTTAGAAAGAAATGTGTATGCATCTGAATCAAAATGCTCGGTTCAACCATACACGTTTGTATCTCTGTCCGCCTTGTTTCCTTTCAAACCCATCAAGAAAATCGTCATCAAGAAGTATTTCAAGAAAACATGCTGGTCCGAAACTGGCAGACTCTCTATAGTTATATTGTCGTTTGCTCGTTCCAAAAAGTTCAAATCTTGGAGCCCGTTCAAGATTTCTTGAAACGGGCATACCTTTTCCTTCAACTACCGACAACATATTCCACCTGTAATGTCAAATCCTTGATGCCCGCATCGTGTAAAATGTCTGAAACCTGTTTCTTTGTAGAAATCTTGTCTGTTCCCGAAGAGATGTACATGCGAAGGGTACCAATGATATCATTGTTAGCAAGACTCCATACGTGAAAGTTTTGAATGCCGGATATACCCTTTATCTTCATGATACTACTTACTGCTGCTTTTAGGTCGTGCTCATGAGCTCTAGGAACTCGTTGCAATAAAACTTCCGCGGAGTTTCTTAGCAATGGAATCACGGAAGAGACGATTAATACGGATATGAAGATGGAGCAAGCAGGGTCGGCGATGAGCCATCCTTTGTATTGGATGAGAAGCGTTGAAACGACGACACCGACACTTCCTAAGGTGTCGGCTAGAACGTGCAAGAAAATGCCTTCCATGTTGTGATCGATGTGATGGTGATGGTGTTTTTGTTTATCATGATGATGGCCATGGTCGTGGTCATCCTGGCGATGGCCATGGTCATGATGATCATGATGCTGGCCATGGTCATGGTGATCCTGATGCTGTCCATGATCATGGTGATCCTGATGCTGGCCATGGTCATTGTGATTATCATGGTGGTGGTCATGTTGATGGTCATGGTGCTTTTGTTTATCTTCTCCAGGAACACCAATTGAGCTAGTGGGAACATGATCATGGTAATGGCCATGGTGATCATGGTCGTGGTGATCATGATCATGATCATGTCCACTATGCACATGTGAATGATGATGAGAATGCGAGTGTGAACATGATGCACCGCCACCATGGGCATGATGGTGCTCATCGTGAAAGAAGATCAACCCCACCACATTAACTGCAAGCCCACCAATCGAAACCGTCAACAAACTAGAAGTCGAAATCTCCTGAGGCTCCAAAATTCTTTCCAAGGACTCCAACACTATCAACGCTCCAACCAAAACAAGAAAAACCGCATTCGTATAACCAGATAAAACCTCAAATCTCCCACGCCCGTAAGTATACTTATCATTTGCCGGTAATCTAGCAATATATGAAGCATAAAGACCGATTGCAAGTGCGGCACAATCAAACAACATATGGCAGGCATCAGATATCAATCCAAGACTATTGTTCATAAAACCCGCAACAAATTCCACCACCATATAACCTGTGTTAATCAAGAGAAAAACCGCAATCTTTCTTGACTTCCTTTCGCTCACAATGTGACGAATGATCTTTGTGATTGAGGCTAAAAACGTATCTGGGGATTCTAACCCTAATTCCATAGAATTCGAGTGAATTGGATCTAATTCCATCACACCAACTCCAAGCAACATACCACAAATCAGTAGTCCCCATAGCGAAAGCTCTGGATAATAGAGCAATTCGAGTATAATCGTGCATACAAATGTCACAAGAAACTCTTTTCGGAAATCTTTCGAGCTTATCAGTCTCTCATCGGTGTAGTTTTCACTCAAAAGCACCCCGAAAACTACTGTGTTTGCCAATGGCCACCCTAGGCTCCCAATTGAAACACTATCTCCTTCTGCTTCAAAGACCAGCATACTAATGGCAGCAGGAATAAACAGCAAGATTGTAGTGTAAAACAATGCAATTAATCGAACCTCTTTTCGACCTAAATCCCTAAGTGTTCCCCAATTTACGGACCCTTGTTCATAACCACCCAAAAACCCTGAAAGAAAAGGAAGCAGCATTGGCCACACCCTAACGCATTTCTCACTATTGGGAATAAGAACAGATGAAAACCCTAGTTTACTGAGGTTGACGAAAGAGAATGGAAAGCATTCAATTCGATCCCAACTAATAGATAACAGAAATACTCCAATAAACAGTGCGAAAAATCCACGAACCTTGTTGGCACCAACGCGATCTAGATGAATCAAGCTTCGATTTCGTCCGGCGACGAAATGAGAGGCCACGTAACCGGACATTTCCGCCAGGATCATGGCGGCGGTGCCGCAGTACCGGAGAGCTTGGAAACGGAGGAGGAAGACAATTGCTAGAAGAACCGATTTGGCGAAGAGAATCCTTTGCTGGAATTTGGTGATTGAACGATGAAACGCGAAGATGGATTTAGGTTTTACGGTTTGTTTGAAGAGAGAGAAGGAGAGAGATAAAAGGAACGATAAGAGAGATACAAGGAACGAGAACGGGAAGACGGAGAACGACGACGGCGATGATTGGAGGAATGGGAGGAGAGAGTAGAGAGATCGGAGAGAGAAGAGGAGGAGGAAGAGGGAAGACGGAGAGATTTTTTTGGATTTTGTGGCGGAGAACGACGTTAGACGGTGTTTGGATGGGGTTGGAGTTGGAGTGAACGGCGGGTAGTGGCGGGAGGGGGTGATTGGGGTAGTTGGAGTGGAGGTTCGCGGCGGAAGAGAGAGGCGGTGAGGACGGTGGTTATGGTGGTTGGAAGCCATGGATGAACGGTGGAGCGATGAATGTTGAAAATCAAAGCTGTGAAAAAAATTGTGAAGCCACGATCTTCAAGAGATTTGCATTTTGCAGAGGAGTTGACTGACTGGACTTGACGAAGTCTACGAACTATACGAAAATAGTCCCTTAATTATGTAACGGTTTACACTTTTTTCCATCTTACTCTTAAACTCACAATTTCAGTCCTTATTCGTCTACAAGCTATACGAAAATAGTCCCTTAATTATGTAACAATTTACGATTTTTTCCATCTTAAGTCTAAACTCACAATTTCAGTCCTTGGGTTATAGTCATGGCAATGATTCAATGAAACCCACCCCGTTGGGAAATCCGGTGTACCCACCCCGACGGATACGGGAATCCCCAAAGGTTAAAAACTAGGGATGGTGATGGGGTCAGATAACGTAGTCTTTGTGTATTAAATATATTATATATTTATTATTAAATATATTATTTATAATAACATATTTAATATCTTTTTAGATTTATAAATAGTATTTTGATTTTTTTTTTCATTTTTTCTGAGTTGTCTTACTTTTTTGGATAAAAAACGCTGTGAGCCGAAAACGTTTGAGCAAACAATTTTGTGTGAGGTAGCGAGTTTGTTTACACATCTCTAAAAACGTTTGATCAAACAATCAAGTATGATGTTGTGATTTTGTTTACGTGTGGATATTTGATACTTTATAAAAGTAAGATTTTGAGGAAATATGTGGGATTTAAACATGGACCATTACCGGTCGAATGTGGTGTTTAACACAATTGATTTACGATATATCACATAAACGGGAAAAAAAAAATCTAATTCCCCATGGGGGATAGCGATAAGGATGTGATCATATTCTCCGGTGGAAATGGAAAAAGATTGGGTTTGGGGACGGAGATTGGGGTCCCCGTCCCATCCATGCCCCGCCCATTCCCATACTGCTACCACCATGGCTCCTCTATTTTAGATAATCCATAATACGAAAAAAGTCCATCGATTATGTACCAAATTGCAACTTTTTCATCGAAAGTTGAAACTCACATTTTCAATCATTGGATTACAATACTCGTTATAGAAACAGTCCAATTCAATAGTTCTGTTTAAAAACAAATCAATTAACATGACTACTTCATATGGGTAAATTTGTAAATTTATAATATTTTCTCGTCAATTATGCACCATTTTCTTTCGTGAGATCATAATTTGTCACTTGTAAGATTTGGCATGACCAGTGGGGAACCCGACTTACCCGACCCGAATGGGGACGGGGATTCTCCGCCAAAACGGGTCCTGGGGCCGGGGATCCCGGGTAGACTCAAACCGGGGTTGGGGTGGGAGTCAGGTATTGTACTCCCTGACCCGTCTCGTACCCAATATACTAATATTCATCTAATAAGTATTTGGCCTTTGGAAATTCAGATAGTGGACCTCTGTTGTTGGACTTCAAGATTATTTCTATTAAGAAACATGGAAATGGAACGGGTCAAGGAAAGGGTCTTGAGTTGGGGACCGGGAATCGAGGTTTGACCAGGGACAAGATATAAATCTCTGTACCCGTTGGGACCAGGGGCTGTACTAAAAATCGAGGCCAGAGTTGGGGATTACAAAACCTGCTCTATCCCCGCCTCGTTGCCATTCTAAGTTGCCCCAGTATACCCGCAAAGTAAGTGATCGTTCTGGGATTAGTCGTATTGTTATATGTTTGTTAAGGCAGTGTTTGGTACGCAGACTGTATGGGACAGGACAGGACGGGATGGTACAGGACAGGACGGGACGGGACGGTACAGGACAGGACGGGACGGGACGGTACAGGACAGGACTGGACATGACTAATTGTCTGTCCTATGTTTGGTACGACTAGGACAGGACGGAACAAAACTATTAAAATGACCATATTACCCCTAAATGTTGTTCAATGTTATTTTATATCATATAATAATTGTAAAATGACAACAAAWCAATCAAAATATTGTCATTTTAACTTTAGTCCCATGTTGTTCCACCTTTTTTGGTGGAACAAAAAAAAATCAAGATTTGTCCCACTAAAATTAAAAATAGTCCCACCTTGTCCCATGTTTTTTTTGTCCATGGCATGCTAAACATGGAACTATTTTTTTTGTCTCGTCCTGTTTCATGTAGTCTGCATACCAAACGCACCCTAAAATAACATCTTTTATTTCCCCTCTCACTAAAAAATATGAAAATTTATTGTTTTCCCTAAAACTTTCAATAACATAATAAAACATTATAAATTTCATTTATTATTTTCCATTTCCTTTTAATTAATTTATATATATTTAATAAATGAAAGAGAGAAATAAATGGTAGGCACAATCAAAGAAGGGGAATCTTTTAATGAAAATAAATGTTGAAAAGCCATATTTTTTATTTATGGGGAAGGTCAAAATTTCCAATTAAAAAAGATGGTTTTTTTTATATATATTTAATATATATGTTATAATGTATATTAATAGTGTGTTTGTTTACCTCTTAATAATTTCATAAACAGACAATATTTGAATTGCTAAGAGGTGAATATTATTTGGCAAAAAAAAAATTGTTTGTCTCTTAATGATTTCTAAAACTATCTGAATGATTTTGTATATTGGGTCTCTGTACCATTTAACACCCTATTTTCATTGTAAACATTCACTGAACAGCTATATTTTATTTTGCGTTATATTATGAAAGACTCTTAATCATATGGATCAATCATTTTACATCAAATCATTCACCAACTGTCAAATAACATTTAAAAAAAGAGTGATGATTAAAATATTCAAATTTAAAAAAAATATTAAAAACTTAATATCTAAAAAAGATAAATAATATTTTATTAAACATTTTAATAATATAATTAATATTATAATCTTTAATATAAAGTAACAATTCATATTATATAATATTTTAAGGGTTTAATTTTAATGTTATATGTAATAAAAAATATAAACTACAAAATAATATTTTTCATTTATATAATTTTGAAATTACAAAATTACCATCGTAGTTTGCAAAAATATTTGGATTTGATCCATCTATCTAGTAGTCATTAAAAATTTCCATTAAATGTAAGAGATTGTTTGTTTATCTTTTAATAGTTCCATTAAAAGAGTAATCTTGTTTAACCAAAAAAAATTTTTTGTCTCATTATTATTCTAAAACCCTTTGAATGATTTCGTACCATGTGTCTTCCTTAACCATTCAGTGCCCTAATTTCATTGTAAACAATTGTCAAACAATTATGTTTCATTTTACATTATATCATTAGGGTATCTTAATAATTCTAACCACTTAGTCATTATGTACCAAACCATCAGAAACTGTCAAACAACCCTAAGACATTTCAGTAATTTTATCATTTTGTTTTGTTTTTTATTCAATCAAAATCGATTATATGAATTTGGTCCATGTGGCTTTTGACCAAATAAAAGACCAAAAAATCCCCCACAAATGCTTAATAACCGTTAGAGGACAAGATTAAGGGGTCGTTTACCAAACGTTTACTCGGATAAGTGAACATCAAGTCATTTTACTTTACCACGATAAATATGGTAATGATCAAAAATCTTACGCGGTAAGAGCGAGACAAAGACCAAAAGTCTTACCCGGTAAGTGAAAGCGACGACTCTTACAACGGTAAGCGCTTACCGGATAAATTGTTGCATAAGATACCAATTTAGTGGACTAAAATCTTATGCCATAAGTAAATGATAGTGTTAAATTTACCGGTAAGCACTTACCGGGTAAGTGTTTGATAAACGACCTCTAAATCCGAACACTTTCATAAAATATAATGATCATTTTGTAATTTCAAAAATAAAAAGACAACGTGTGATATTTTTGACAACTCATATGGACCACATTTATAGCATACTCTAAAAAGTATAAAATATCTACTAAAAATGGTTTTAAAATATTCTAAATATAGTAAGTAAGAATTCATTTATATATATATATATATATATATATATATATAATTAATTGAGAAATATCCATCAGTATCTCTAACAGATCTTTTAAGGTATTGTTTGGTAATAAATAATATAACTTATTTTCTGAATACATGTTTGAATGTATATAAGTTACCTTATTGAAAAATTACTTAAAATAATGTTTTATAGTTTATTGTTACCTTTTTCAATTATAACCCTTATTAATATTAATTATAAATAAATATTAATAAAATTTAAATATTATCGATATCAAATTATTAAAAATTAATTATACATTAATATTATTTATTAAGTATGTTTATGTAACATAAAAATTAAAGTTATACTTATTTTGTTTCATAGATGATAAAAAATTTGAATAAAATATTTATTTTAATTGTTTAAATATATATATATTTTTAAAATTATTAATTAATTAGGATATATACCATTTTAATCTGTATTTGTATTATATATACTGGTTATTTAAAAATCATAAATAACAGATTTTTCCTAAATATTGTTTTAACTCCATATATTATAATATATAATAATCAATTTGAAATTATTTCAGTTGTATTTTAAAATATTATAATTGATTAGTTTTTCAAGATCTTCCTTTTAGTCATTTTATATTTTTTCCAGCTATTGATTTGTTAATAATTTAGTTTATCAGCTACTAATTATCTTATCAGCTATCAGTTACTTTACGAAACATAGCCTAAAAAGGAGAGCCAAAAGTTAAAAATCTAAAAAAGAAGATTAAGTTTATTTTTAAAACTACTTTATTTTTAAGACTAGGGGGCCGTTTACTAAACACTTATCCGGTAATTTTTCTTACCGGATGAACATGACAATGGTCAAAAATCTTACCCGGTAAGAGCAATGATAAAAATGAAGAATCTTACTTGATAAGTGATGGTGACGACTCTTACCCGAGTAAGTGCTTACCGAGCAAATTGTTGCATACGATACCATTTTGATGTACTACAATCTTATCCGATAAAATAAATTACATTGTTGACTCATAATAATAAGCGCTTACCGGATAAACATTTAGGTAAACGACCCTTGAATATTAATAATATATTTGTTCATATGTATTCATCCACCAATATAATGCATCATAATATTAGTTATTACATAAATGTCATGATAAATATAATTCATTGATTTTCAAGATGAATGGTTTTTATTTATTCACAAAAGTTAACACCATATATTGAATTACCAAAAAAAGGTTGATTCATATTTGAGAATATAAAAAGTAAATGTTAATGTTGATTTGCATAAAGAGAAAATAATAAATACAAAGGGCAAATTGCACAAAAAGGTAGTATATTTTAACTTGATTCCTATATTTTCATTTTGGTACCTAAGTTATAAAGTTTTAAACATTTAAGTATTAGGGTAACCGGTTGAAGACTAATTTAATATTAAAAAAAGACTAATTTTAGATTAAGAAAATTCATGTCACTAACTACGTCAACAAATAATATTGAGTTGGATATTAATCCTTGCCTCATCAACATGATAGCTGGTTAATACTGCAACTAGTTCTCCGAGTACTAAATGTTTAAAACTTTACATCTTAGATACCAAAATGAGTTTAAAAATATATAAAAATTAATTAAAAACAAATAAAAGAAAAAAAGGGAAAATTATGTAACACTTCATTTCAAGATTCGTATATAATTATCACAACCTACTTTTTACAGGATATGAACGTACACCAAGAGACTTAAAGCCTTGGTGACGACGATCTTCATCGCCATCTCCATTTTTCAAAAATCCCCAAATTAATGGCGGATAACACTACTTCAACCAATCAACTCGCCGGCGACGGCCATCGGAATCCACCTCCGACTCACCGTCATCTCATCACCTACTCCAGAAAGCGAAAACACTTTCGATTTCAGGTAAATCCATCAACCGAACTAAACCCTATTTCTGATTCATCGGTTTTAGGTCTTGTTCTTCTTGCTCATACTTTCACTTACGATCTTCGTAACCTTCCTGAATCGTTACTTCTCGAAATCCTCTCTAGATTGCCTCTGCAATCGATTTTTAGGTTCAAATGTGTTTGTAAACAATGGCGATCCCTAATTTCACAACCTTCATTTTGCCGGTTTTACTTCACCGCCAACGCAGCTTCTTCTTCCATACCTTTCAGGATCCTGTATAGGTACATTTACGTCTCGAAATTCAAGGATATTCTTGACCGATTTCGTCCCGATACTTACAATTCCTCGAAATTTTCTGTCCTTTTTCTATCGAGCTTCGAAGAACAACAACAATCTGATCAATTCAAGATTTTAGCTGTGAGTAATGGCTTGATTTTATGCTGTTTATTGGGACCTTTGATTTACTACATCTGTGATCCTGTAACTCGACAGTGGATTACTTTACCTAGAGGAAGAGATAAATACCCAAATCGACATCCGATTTTCTTCGGTGAAGGGCTTGTTAGTAGGGTTAATGAAGATAATGTTCTTACTAGCTATACCGTTGTGCGAGTAGAATTGCTTAATTCTCTCTCTACATATCTCAATTTAGAAATGTTTTCATCGGAGACCGGAAAATGGGTCTTTTACCGGCTGCCGTGCACTAATCCGATCGCACTGCTGAAGCGCGGCGGAGGTCCGATTAGCTACAACGGGATTCTTCATTGGTTCGTTTACAACCATGGAATGGTTGCTTTCGATCCGCATAAAGACCCCAAAAGTTGTCGGCTCATCCAGTTTCCGGTGGACAGAGATGTTGAGAGCGAATACAAACACGACGGGCTTTATCGATTGTGTGGTGAATGTCAAGGACGTCTGCGTTTTTTCGAGGTGGCGCCGGAACCGTTTTCGTTTTACGTTTTTAGTATGTGGGATTTGAAAGATTACGAGAAAGGCGAATGGGTTTCCGAGTTTAAGGTAACCCGAAGTGATCTTTCTTCGTCCGATCCCGAACTGGGCACTTGGTTAACAACCGCTGCTTTTCTTCCGTTATCGTTCCACCCTTTTAATCTCGATATCGTTTATTTGAGGTGTGTCGAGCTTGCTTGTATCGTGTCGTATAACATTCGGGATAAAAGGCTCGATGTTGCTTGTGAAACTATTGGCGTTGTTGAAGATCTTTCGTGGCGTGTGGTGGTGCCGTTTGTGATCCCAAGGTGGCCGACCCCGGTTCCGATCCCGCCTGGTCTGAAAAAGGCTGTTAAGCCGAAACTTGCACACCGACACCGCTCGTATAAAATTTATCAGCGGTTTTAGATTTTACGATTACGGGCTTCTTTAATTACTCTTGCTTGCTGGTGTTTTGAACCTTCACATAAGTACTACGTCACAATATCATTAGTAAACTGATAACTGCAAGTATTTTGGGTTTTAGAGGGAGTTCGTTTCGTCTGTATCGATAGGTTCGTATGTGTTATGGATTGATTAATTTTGTCGTATTGATATTATGAGAACGTGCAAATGAGAACCAAGAATATTTTGAGAACTATGCGAATAGTGACGGTGTATGCATTGATCATAGACTTGGGATTGTTTGAAATAAGACGGTATTCGTGAGATCCGTAAAAATTGTGAGTCATTTGATGAGGCTTTTTAATCTCGTCAAACGTTCACAACAAATAAAACGAACGTTCACAACTGAACTCCAAATCTTTTTTTTTTTTGTAAAGGTGTCCGGGCCAAAGCCCGACTAATCCCCGGCAAATTTGGAGGCTAAACATGGCCTCACTTAAATGTCGCCAACACTTCCCTCCCAGGGCTCGAACTCGGGTTCATGACTATGCCATGCCCAAGCCTTTACCACTAGGCTGGAAGGTCTTTGACAACTCCAAATCTTTACGTGAAAAGAAACCAAACTTTTACATGAAACACATCGGACCTTCACGGGAAGCACATATCAGATTGAATGTTTGTGTTTGAACCTTCACATGTCTCCTGGTCTCGTGAGAAGTTTTCGATGAATTTTAGTGAGTATATGCACCAATACATATACAATTATGCACACATACATCGTTTCAAATGAAATTACGTTCCGTAGTGAAGTAGAACAAAGGATAGCGCACCACGTGTCCAAAACATTTACGGGATACTCATCATGAATGAATGTTGTAGAAATTCACGTAAATTATTCATGATGAATGGTAACACATAATGACACATGTCACGCTCTCCTTTATCCTCTGATTCACAATGGAAAACAGATTTGCAACTGAATATTCATACGTGCATGTATGATAGATTGATGAATATGATAACCAACATACAAATATTTTGATAACATATATGGATCAATACATATAATTATATATACATACATATACACATAGAGGGAGGAGGTTATGAGGAAAATCCTCAAAAAGTTGAAAAACTAAAGAACAACCCTAATAACCATTAATCTGGACGATGTGCATATGTGCATACTTGTAATTGAAGTTGTTTCTTGGTTTTTATACACGTACGCATGTTATGCAACACATATGTGCATACCAAATTGCTTATAAATTACTTGTATGCACATGTGCATACCGTCCGAATGAACGGCTACCAGAGTGTTCAATTTTTTATTTTTGTTATGGTTTTCCCCTAAACCTGACCCTACATACATATACTAGTTCTATTAAGAGACAATCTTTGAATTATTAAAAGGTGAATCTTGTTTGACAAAAAAAAGTCTGCTTCTTAATGGTTCTAAAACCCTCTGAATGATTTTGTATCATGGGTCACCCTTAACCATTCAACACCCTAATTCCATCGTAAACAATTACCGCACAATTATATTTCATTTTACACTATATTATGAGAGCCTTTTGATCATTCTGCCGACTTTATCATCCTGCAATAAAACCATTCAACAACTATCAAACAGCCCAATCAACAAAATCAACATCAAGATCCATAGAATCAATATCAAGATACATAGAATCAATATCCAAATAATGTTTGCAGGTTGCAAATGAAAGCAGGTATGGGTCTGGATTGAAGCAAATAGATGAACCAGAAACTATCTTTTAACCCATCATCATCATCATCATCATCATCATGATCCATAAACAAAAACTATAACAGAAATCAAGATTCAAAATAATGCTTACAATGCCCAAATTGTAGCAAAAGCTTGGATGTGTAGATGTTCAAACTTGTAATCTTTATCGATTTCAATCTCTAATCTCATCTCCAAAATCACCAAAAAATCCCCAAAAATCAAACCATTTTAGTGATCAGAACCATACCCGTTGATCGCAGGAATCTTGTCGATGAACACATTTTCCTTATCCTTAACAACACCATGATCATCTTCATCATCTTCACTATCCAAAGTGAACTGAGTCTGATCCAAATCCAAATGCTGCATCTCGGCACCAAGCGGTTTATATTGCATTGATTCATGGCTAACACCATGCTTTTGGCTAACGAAACTGTAAACTCCAGTAATGAAACAGACAAGAAGTGCAAGATGACAGTTGAATTGCAGGGTGGCAATGGCTCTAGCTCTGTGAAACTCAGGGTGTCCTTTGCATCTAATGGTGAAATTTCCTCTACTCTTTTCACGAATGAAACAACCATTGGAAATCAAATTGGAATGGAAGGAGAATCCCATCTGTATGAACCACATACCTTGCAAAACCAGTCCAACTCCACGACCTAATCGAGAATAGTTTGATTTTGGGGATTTGAGTTCGAGGATGGTGGAAACGATACAGATAGAGATTGGAACAAGCAATAGATCATAGTAACGATTCTCAATTCCATCTGGATCTTTCTTCTGGATGTAAAAAAGGAAGAATTCTTCGACGAAACCGAATAGACAGAGCGTGTTGAGGATTAACGATGGAAATTGGAACGATATTCGAAGATTTGTCAATATACCTAAAACAGAGAAAAGGAAAAACAAAGCGGAAATCGAAATCACCTCAAATTGAAGAACAACGCCGGTTTGATCTTTCGATTTCAGAGCATCGATTATGGAAATCAAAGAATTTAAGATGAATAAGAAGGAAATAAGAGAGATTGCGAAGAAAGTTAAGGATGTAACGAACGAAACCGATTTTGATCGAGCAATCGACGATGGAAGCGGTGTTGATGAGAGAGACGACGAACGGGAGATTTGTTTTAGGGTTTCGGAGGTTGAGATAATCGATTCAGAAGCGCCGATAAGGAATAATCCGCCGCCGCCGATGGCGTACGTAAACAATCCCGCCATTGTTATCGGTCTTCGTGAAATTGATGAAGGAAATGGAGGAGAAAACGATCTGAGATTGGGAATTTGGAGGTTATGTGAAGATGGTCAAATGTTGGAGTTTTCAAAGTCAAAGTCAAAATATGAAGACAGAGATGATGAATGTATTTTCCGCTGTCGTATTGGGACTCTTCTTCGCTGTCTACCGCCACGCCGCCACCGTCACCGGCCACCACCACCATACATGCAACTTCAAGGTTTTAGAAAACTGAACGATAATTTTCATCCAGGTTATGATGATATTGCAGAAGAATCAACCGTTCAAGTACAATGGTGCAATCCCCATTGGTGAAACCGAAAGCCATTGAGTTGTCCATTGCCTCGATTCACCAAATCCTTAAAGAAAAATTAAGAGTTGTTTGAAATTGATTATAAAAATAATTTATTGATTTATTTTTGTGTCACTAATAAACATTTTTGAGCATTTGGATAAATAGTTTATATCACTACCAAACCGGTAACAATGATTTTTAAAAAAAGTTAAATCATTCTAACTTATAATAAGTTGATAAGAACTTTTGTAAAAAAATAAGTTGTTTCAAGGGAAAAGTACAATAAAAACCAATGGACTTTCTTGTTTGGAATGATTAAGTTCTTGGATTTTTTTTGGAACAAATAAGTCCTTGGATATTCCAAAACATATTAAATAAGTCATTGGACATTCCAAAATATGTTAAATAAGTCATTGGACAATTTTTTGAACAAATAAGTCCTTGGACATTTCAAAAAATGTTAAATAACTCATTGCACAATTTTTGGAACAAATAAGTCCTTGAACAATACAAAACATGTTAAATAACTTCTTGAACTTTTATAAAACATGTTGGATACATTCTTATGACTTGTACAACTAGTTAAAGTGGTAAAATAGTGAAAAAAAATCCCGAAAAAACCCCAATGAACATTCATATTTTGAACGATAAAGTGGTAAAATTGTGAAAAAAATCCGAAAATATATTTTGTCAGTGATTTTTTAAACTAAAAAAAATTATAAAATATATTATTTTTAATTAAAATAAATTTCACCAGTAATCTTTTTAAATCTTTTTTTAATTTAAAAAATACATACATGATATATATACTTTTAATTAAAATAAATTTAATAATAATAATTTTTTTGTTTGAAAAATCACTGACATAATATATTTTAATTTTAATTAAAATAAACTTTATCAAAAATCTTTTTTAAATGTAATTATTTTTTTGTAAATGTAAGTACTTTTTTGTTATATTTGTTTAATTTTATAAATCTAAATAATTTTCGGTTCAAAAAAAATTTAGGGGCTTAATCGTTCAAAATATGGATGTTCATTGGGTTTTTTTCCGGATTTTTTTCACCATTTTACCACTTTAATTAGTTGTACAAGTCATAAGAATGTATCCAACATGTTTTATAAAAGTTCAAGAAGTTATTTAACATGTTTTGGATTGTTCAAGGACTTATTTGTTTCAAAAATTGTCCAAGGAGTTATTTAACATTTTTTGGAATGTCCAAGGACTTATTTATTCCAAAAATTGTCCACAGACTTATTTAACATATTTTGAAATGTCCAAGGACTTATTTGTTCCAAAAAATTGTCCAATGACTTATTTAACATGTTTTAGAATGTCCAAGAACTTATTTGTTCCAAAAAAAAGTCTAAGGACTTAATCATTCCAAACAAGAAAGTCCATTGATTTTTATTGTACTTTTCCCTTGTTTCAGATAAGAAATCCAAATACCTTACATTCATATTTTATATTTTTATTTTAATATTTCTCAAAATAAATATTTTACTTTTAAAAGTAAAAATATGTTTTCCTATTCTACTTTTAATTAAGAGATGAATTTTTTTTTTATTTCCGTATTTTTTGGACAAGATTTGATTATCGACAATTCTAATCGGGCCCACACTGAATCCATCTCCAAAGACACCAATGTGAGGGGTGTTTTTTTGACTCATTTAACGATTGAGCCCAGCGTGGGGATTGGGTTCAAACGTGGGATTTGTCTTGTATTTGACAAAGTCTATCTATCTGTTAACTGAGATGGACATTGAAGGCTCACCCTATTATTAAGGGTAAAACAGTCACCAAGTTTGTTAAAAAGTGTGATAAATTGTATATTTCTAGAACTGTGTGCATGGCTGGTCCTTAGGGTTCAAATGCCCTGTGCGGGGAAGCTAAAAAATGTCCCTATGCTAACAAACAAAACACGCTATTTTCTAAAGGATTCGGGACCTAGTCAAGTAAGGCGGTTATGTTCATGCCCACGTCGAAGGAACCAAAACAGTCAAATGAGAAGGGATGAGGAATAGTAGAATCAGTTGGTGACTGTATCACTCTGACCAGCTTGGGCTTATTGTTTATAGCCTGTATGATTAAAGCAAAGTTAATAACACATAAAACCCCGATGCCCCCTGGGATTCTAATGCCCTGTGTGGTCGAACGAACTGAATGTGACTAGGGTCGAGCCTAACTATTTGTCTTTTTTATCATGGACACCTGTTTCGAGGCTGATGGGTTATGGAATTTGATGTAGACAATAAATATATTTTAATGGATTACTGTAAAATTTACGTTAAAATGTAAGAATATTGATATATTTTATTTTATCTTTTCATTGAGTGTAAGATTTTGTCAATTAACAGTGTCACACCAAATTGGTGTGCTATTGTTTATTGCATCAAATTCATTGATTTTTTTTATCAACCTGGATATCCAACCTGCTATGCGAGCCAACTAATCTTATAACAAACCACCCACTTTGCAGGTAGCCGGAGTCATCGAAAAGCATTTGAACTTTCGTGGCCACAAGGGGATTTTTACTCATACTTGGATTCGAACATGAGACCTCTAGGCACTTTTGACATTCAGAGTCCAAACTCAAATCAATCAAACACCACATTTGTGGTTATCAAATTCGGTATTTGGTGTAAGATTTAGTGTCCTCAAAGGCAAGCAAAACCGACAAATAAGACCAGGCATTTGGACTCCTCATAAATGTTAATTCGAGTCTCGTTAGTGCTACTGATAATTTTCTTAGCAGTTATCTTCAAGAACCCATGAGATTGGTCGATGTGTACGTAAGCTGACATGAATACTGTAACAACTCGTCCCACATGGATAGAAAGTGAGAATTGTTAGCTCCTTATAAGTCCCAAGTAGTGGGCTACTAATAACTTCTACCATGGTTTTAAGTTGGATTCGAAGTTATTGGGCTAGTTCGTTGCTTTGGGCTTTGGGGTGTTACAAATGGTATCAGAGCCGATCCTTGTACCATCGGGATGGTGGGGCAAACCTCATCGGGTATGATGAGTCCTCGAGAGGGGGTGTTTGTAACATCTTAGGCAAATCCCACATTGCCGATGACAAGGAGGAAGATTCTGGATAAACCTGATGAGGACGTCAGAAGTTTAAGTGGGGGAGTTTGTATCAACTCGTCCCACATGGATAGAAAGTGAGAATTGTTAGCTCCTTATAAGTCCCAAGTAGTGGGCTACTAATAACTTATACCATGGTTTTAAGTTAGATTCGAAGTTATTGGCCTAGTTCGTTGCTTTGGGCTTTGGGGTGTTACAAATACCATGGTTGAAAAACGAACCAGATGAAACCATTTACAACACGAGGTTAAAGTACCTTTATATGGTATTTTTGTGATGTACAACAGGTTGAGCAATCGACCAAGTTGCTTGTGAAATTGTGACGATACGAGGAACCTGTGAAAAACGCGTTAACTTTAAACTGGTGTAAGCTTGGAATTGGACAAAACTACAAAGCCCACAACCAATAATAAAAAATACCATGATGATTAGGCAAAGACTGTCACGCGAGCTTACATCGTCTCATCGAATTTGAGAAGAAAACAGATAGAAATGGATGGAAAACAATGCAAATAAAATAAGGAATTATTTATTGTTTTATGTCTTGAAATCGAAAGGAAGAGGAATGAATAAATCATAACAAAACAGAAATTCATGTTCTTGAACTGAAAAAACTGAATGACATCTTTACAGATACATTATCTGTATATGTCTTGATTGTGTTAAATTGATGGGTAGTTTTGTAATTTTATTGATTTGTCCAGAATATTATCGTTTTTCCCTTTCCTCCACATCTGAAACACGTTTTTTTTTCGCTTTCCCGCCAATTTCATTCATTTTTCTTCTTTCGTGAAAAAGTTTTTGGAACACAATGTTATTATCGAACCCAAGATCACGAAATCCATTATTTGGTACCATGACTGCAATTTATTCTTAAATAGTGATATTTCGTAAACATGTTTAATTTCTGATATTATAATTTTTGTAAACGTATTTGATTAACTTTACGATGTTTAAATGATAAAAATATTAAAATTAAAAGTACAATGTTGTAATAGAAATTGACGATGTTATAACAAATTAATTTTGAAAGTATAATATTATAATAAAAAATGTCATGTCAGCACCACCATACACGTGAACTGCCTACATGGACGATGAAGTGACAAAGAAACCTCATATAATGGGTAAATTTAATTTACAAGGTTACCCAATGCTATAACGGATAAATTTTTGAAAGTACAATACCCTATTTTTTTTTTTTGAAAATACAGTGCTGTAATAAAAACAATTGAAATTACAATGCTATAACAAGAAAACTTGTGAAAGTAAGTTGCTATTTCATGAAATTTGTCCAACAAAACTATAATAACATTTTTTATAGTTTTTTTTTAAATTAAGAGTCGTTACGGTTTTCATCCCCGTGGTTCGTTAAAAGTTACGATATTTATCCTATGGTTTAAAACTATAGTTTTCATCCCTATAGTTTATATATTTTTTGATTAACCTAGATATCCAACCCGCTATGTGAGCCGACTAATTCCAGGACGACCATCTGCTTTGCAGATAACCGGAAGTCACCGCATTTGAACCTCCGTGGCCATAAGGGAATTTTTATTCCTCTTTAGATTTGAACACGAGACCTCCTGGTACTTTTGATATTTGAAACCAAACTCAAACCAATCAGGCACCACCCTTGTGGTTAGTCTATAATTTATGACTATTTTCATCATTATGATTTATAGTTTACAATCTTTATTGCTTTGGTCCCTTATATTAAAGGTAAGAATCTCTACTATATTACAAAACATTTGACAAAAACTCTTAATATCAAATTTTTATGCATAAAATACTGTTTATTGATACATATTACTTAAAATTGAAGATTACAAGTAGAACATGAGTGAATACATCTTATTAAAGCTCAATCTTTAAATCGTATAACTAACTGCAGATAAACATAATCAAATACATGATATATAAAAAATTTAAAATATAATTAAGATAATCATTGACTTCTAACAAAATACTTAATTATTATCTTAAAAAAATTATTACATTAAACCAAAAATAAATTAGTTCCTTATATAAACTTCAATTAAATTATAATAAAAATTAAATTAAATGAATTACACAAAAAACGAGAACTTTTAAATAGTTAATTTGATACTAATATCGTTTATTTTTTTTTTCAAAATTTTATAATATCTTCAAATTTATATTTTATTCAAAAATAAAACATTTTTTTCCCCTCAAAATCACATAAAATCGCAGTATAATATCGATAAAGTCAAAATATAAAACGAAACATTAAAATCAAGATGTATCTCACTGCATTACACAAATACCCTTCTAGTAATATAAAAATAAAACACAACAATAAAATATAATAGAGACAAAAATCAAAATTATTAACGAATAATTTTATTACAATGGGTGTGCCGTGCACGTGTCTCCGTTTAAAACCGAGACGGGACGATTCACGTGACGTTAGGCGTTAAATAAGATAACAAAGCCCATATAAAATGCTCAATAAAGGCCCATGCTTTTTGACCCCATTGGTAATAATCTCCTACATCGCACCCCACGCTATTTCCGATGTAGATAAGATAAGAACATCCGAAAACGTCATCGTTTGGCTTGTCCAAATGAAACCGTATATATAGAAAACAACGTAGCTTTCAACTTCCATCATTCGTCCCCAGTCCCCACTTGGTCAACCAAATTTCAATCAATTTAAGATAGAAGAAGCAGAAAAATGGATTTGTTTATGATCAGAAATGGAAAATCTGCAGTTAATTTGATGTGTTTTGTGTTGGTTATCTTCGGAGGTTCTGTTAATGGCCGTCGATTGCTGTCTCAGGCTAGACCAAAGCCTAGTAATGCCGCCCCTTTTGCTCGATGGTTGGTTTCCGAGAGTTCTTGGGGTGTTTTGAGGTATGATTTCTACTTTCATCTTGTTATTGTAGTTCAGTTTGTATCTATTTGTGTTGTGTAATTGGTGAATGGTGATAAATGATAATGTGTTTTGAGGATTTTGGTATTTAGGTGATGTTTCGGATTTTGATGATTATGAATGTGAAACAATGATTGTTGTTTTGTATTGCTTAATTTCATATGTAGTTGTAATTGATATTGGATTTCGATTTTTAGGTTTATGATTGATGTTTCGGATTTTGATGATCATGAAGATGAAACAACGATTGTTGTTTTCTAGTGCTTGATTTTGTAAGTATTTGTAATTGATATTGGATTTGAATCAGTTTATAGTTTGAACAAAGCTTGGATTACAACCATAACTTGGCATGATTTCCGGACTGTAGTAAGAACCCTATGATGTGATATTGTTCATTTGAATGCAAGTTTTAGAAGTGATGTTGGGATCATAGAAACTGGAAAAGCGAGATGATTCAGTCGATTAAAACACGATGTTGTAAGAATTTGTGAAATCCCATTAGATTACTCTTCAAAAGATCCCTCGAAGATAGAAGGGAGGTTCCAACATGTATAGAGGAGAATCAGTGCAATTCTGGCCTATGTCTCGCAATGTCAAGAGGGGTTCTTTTGAAGAGTAATCTAACGGGTTCCACATAATACCGTGCTTTAATTAACCGAATCATCTAGTTATCCAATTTGTCAAACTCCAATTATCATTTTTAGAACTTGCATTACATCATATGTTTCATAGCTACAGTCTGGAAATCAGGCCAAGTAATGGTTGTAATCCAAGCTTAATCCAAACTATAAACTGATTCAAATCCGATATCAATTACAACTACGTATGAAAATTAAGCAATATAAAATAAAAATCGTTGTTTCATCTTCATTAAAGCATGACATAATGAATTAGTTTCTCTACAACATATCCTTACTAAATCCAGTTCTTTTATCCCTAAATTATAAAAATTCAACCACAAGGGTGGTGCCTTATTGGTTTGAGCTTGGCTCCAAAGGTCAAAAGTATCAGGACGTCCCAGGTTCAAATCCAAGGAGGATTAAAAATCCCCTTGTGGCCACGGAGGTTCAAATGAGGTGACTCCGGGCTATCTGCAAAGCAGATTGTCGCCCTGGGATTAGTCGCTCGCATAGCGGGTTGGATATTCAGGTTAATAAAAAAAATTACAATTAGTTTTTGCCAAATAGTTTCAACCAAAGTCCGCTACCCTAGATACTTGTCCCTACCAAAATCCACTACATTAGTCTCGCGTCTCCAAGAATTTCTATCAAAGGTCATGCCATAGGAAATGTCAAGAAGTTATGTTGCTATTGTTGATTCACTAGCTTGATTACGGATCTTCATTTAGTTTTTCAACCCTGCTTTATGAGATATATGTTATGAATATAGCTGATATTATCACCAAAAATTTGCAGCACCATTGCAGATGACTTGGGCGGAGCACCTTTCGGGTATGCTGTTTTCCCCTTTTCTTATAGTAAACAATACAAGTACTAATTTAATATTATCTCGTGAAGACCTCTCCCAGACCCTACCTAGAAGGTAGAGGTCTAAACTGCATACAACCCACCCTCCCAAACCCTGCTTTCAAGCGGGATATATTGGGTTTGGTTTAGGAGTACTAATATTTTAGTACAAGATGCTGGCGTGTTCTGTGTGATATGGTGGTTGCATTAGGGGTGTTTGGTTGGTTTTTCATCAAGTCCTGTATGAATAAAACTGTTTGTGTGGATTAATCTCGGGGCATCTGAGAATGATTCGAGCCGTATGAAGGGAAACTCTCGCATACAGTTTCTCAGTGTTTTCGAGTATGATTTATGTAATTTATAGTTTTAGAAAGTTAGCCGACTGATAGCCCTGTGCTTTGCTGTCTGTCTACATTTGATAAGGTTTTTTGTTTAGGAGGGTTTTTTCATAGATGGAAGGAGTGTGTTTTCTTATTGAAGGAGCAAGTTTGGAAAAAACTTGGCTTTTTACATAAAACCCCCCCTTAAGCCATTTTCTGTATCATCAAGCCACTACCAAACAGTCATGTATAGGTGACCGGATAAGCTGTGAGTCCCATTAAGTTCATTAATCTGCTAATTCGTGCAAGGGTAAATAATAAGATTAAATAAACTATGCAGGAATGTGGTTTCGTTTAGTGACGGCCTACCAAAGGAAGGCAGTGGCATTCCATATTTCTACTTAACAAGTCTGGATCCAACTGCACAGTATGCGATGAAGGATCATAGATCTTCGTTCACAATTAGCGAATACCAGCTTGGAACTTGTGGCAAAGTAGACCCTGAAAACCCAACCTGTGCTAAAATCACGCTCACGGGAAAGGTATGTTATTAGATTTAACAGTAGGGGTTCACTTCATATTTTAAAAAGGGTAACTTTAGTCCCTACGGTTTTAGCCTAGCAGGTAAGGAGATGGAGATCCTTGCAGAATGAGTGGGAGATGTGGGTTTCGACCCCAGGCACCACCCACCTGCCTCTTATATGATTTACCTTCCCATGATGGTCGTATTACTTGTATAGTGGGGGCGCTCCAAAGTTTGGCTTCGTCCCCTTCAGGTGCCTTTAGGGTGCGTTTGGTACACTTGACAGAACTGTACATGGATCACTATTCCATGTTTGGCAGGACTTTAATGTGGTACATAGCGGAACAAAGTGGAACAGGCATGTTCCATCCCCGTCCCATGGAACGAGGTGGAACAAACCTATATTTTATCAACATACTGGAACAAGGTGGAACAGACCTATATTTTACCAATATACCATCAAAATAGAATCTAATTCTCTTCCATAACATAAAGTACGTCTTCCTCTCTACATTTTATCCATTCTTTAAATTTTATTTATTGTATCCTGTTCTCAAAATGTTATTTTTATACATTTTCTATATTTTGGTTAATTTATATAATATTAATAATTAAAAAATGATATAGAAAAGGTATAAAATAAAAATTAAATAAATAGTAAACTTCATATTTTGTGTCATTTATATCGTCTTCACGAAAACTTTCTAATGATATATTTTATTATAAAAAATATTTATTTTATTAAAAATTAATATATTAATCAAAAGATATAAACAACTCATTTGGGGTAAATTGATCATTTGATGAGTCCTATCTTACCAAACGCGGAACAATTGTCTTCTTCTGTCTAGGTACCAAACACACCCTAAGGGGTACAAGACAAGACATTGCAAAAGCTTGTTGCTATGCGTTTGGCATGACATTAGACTGGGACAAGACAGGACCTAAGTGAGACAAAAATACATTTTTTTTGTCCCACAGAAACTAGGTGGAACAAAAATCAGGGAGCTATGACAAGATTGGTAAATTACTAAATTACCCATGTCAAATCAAAACCCTAAAACCACCCACAATTCTTTCACCCGCCTACCTCACTCTCATCCGTCCAGTTATGTACAGTCCTGCTTGCGTATCAAACACACCCTTATGTGTGATCAGTTGAACAATTGCTTAGCAGAATTCTTATGAAATTGATGTAGATCGATAAGCAAATTTGTTTCTTTTGTTTCAGTTAAACTTGCTAGATGCCAAATCCGAGGAAGCCGTAACCGCTAAAAAGTCGTTATTTGCCAAACATGCCGAGATGGAAGGTAATACATATTTTATCTTTAGACAACCATACCCTTTCTTTCGAACGTTTAACTAATGACGCCGTGACACTTTTCATTCTTGTTAATAGGCTGGCCTGAGGATCATAGTTTCCAGGTCTACAAACTAGATATCAAAGATATATTCATGATCAATTTCTATGGCGGTCCTAAACCTCTCACCGTGGATCAATACCTCCATTCGGGACTGTAAGTCGGGATATTGGAGTACTATATCTAAAGTTTATATCTGAATGTAACTTGTTATAATTTTACGCATGATATAGAATAAAACTATACTTGGTTCTTCTTTTCTTTGACCTTACACTTCTTCACAAGTTGGGGGTCTCCGGAAACACCTGTTCTACCCTTACCCTTTGGGGTAGATGACTGGACTATGCATATCCCAACGTCCTAGACTGTAACATCCTCGACCAATCGTACCGGATATTGCATGCTTTGTCCACACCTGGACTCGCGGTTTTAGAATGTGTCTGGATAGAGGAGATATCCGGTCTCTTATAAGGCAACCTTCGTTCCCCTTCCCAACTGGATACATCGTCTATAAGACGCATTTTAAAATTGAGTCTAGGTGTGGATGAAGCGGACAATATCTGATATGGTTGACCGAGATGTTATAAATGGTATGAGAGTGGGGAACCATATTGGTGTGCCAACAAGGACGCCTGAGCTCCTGATGCCGGGGGGGGGGGGGGGGGGTTGGATTGTGAGATCCCATATCGGTTGGGGGGAGAGGAATGGAAGTTACCTTATATGAGAATGGAAGCCTTAGGTCTGTCTACATCCCATCCCTCCCAGACCGTAACATCCCCGACCAACCATACCAAATATTTTCCGCTTTATCCACACCCATGACTCATGGTTTTATAATCGGTATGACTGAGGAGGTATCCAGTCTCTTATAAGGTAACATTCGTTCCCCTCCCCAATTGGATACCTCTTCCATCATATGCGTTTTAAAACCGTGATCCAGGTGTGGACAAAGTTTACAAATGCAAAGTTTACAAATGGTACCAGAGCCGGGAATCGGACTGGTGTGCCATCAAGGAAGCGTGGTACATCAGTTGGGGAAGGGAACGAAGGTCGTCTTATAAGGGACTGGAAACCACCTCCATTGGACACGTTTTATAACTGTGAGTCCATGTGGATAATATCTGATACGGTTAGCTGGGGATGTTACTCAGACCGGGTTTGGTTTGGTTTATAGAATTAAAGCACAATTCGATATATAATACACAAACTTCTTGATTCCAAAGCACATTTACGAACACATTTTTATGCATCTACAGGAACGAATTAACCGCTCTTATGTGAATTATCGTCACAATCTCACGTTTCTATGAACTCTTCCCACCCTGCGAGCATTAATTCGAGAACCTGTAAATCATGTGTAACATTTGTGTAATATAACGATTCAAATTCCCGAACATATGTATGCTAAATTCTTTTGAGACAATAGTCTCTGTAATCATATGGAAACAATCGTTCTATTATTTGGGGTAAAAGACAGGTTAGTATATATCCTACCACTCAATCCCTACTTTTGAGTGAGATATGCAGGGTGAGTTCGGTTTGGCTGTATTAATAAGTAATTTGTGGTGTCTTTGGTCAACTATAGTGTTTATGTAAGTACCTCGGCTTCATTTGTTTTTTCTTGTGTAATTGTGGGTGTTCCGATCAGTTTGTGCGCACATTGACTAATCCCATAGGCTCTGAAAATAACAGTCAAGAAAGACATACCCAGTAGCTTAGATTGAGGAGACTCAAACTGGCGACCTATAAGATGGAGCCATATAGACTATCGGTTTAGTTGACCATAGTGTTTATGAATGTTTAGTTCTACTAAAAGACCATGCTGTTGGATCTAAGTAAAAAACGAACCTATAAGGGGCATAGTGGTCCGTGCCTCTGCTATATGGTTTTTTGTAGTGGGACTCTTTTAATGATTCGAAAGATGCCACTGCAGTGTTCTGTTTTGTTGTAACTAGGTTGTTTTAAGGCGCTTGGTTAAGGTTTCCTTTAAAAGCGTGGGTCCGAGTCTTGCTATTAACAGAAACCCTTTTCTTAGCGTACGAGTTTTTTTATAGCTTTTGTTCTAAAAACAAAAAATGAGGAAATAAAGTATGCAAGGAATCAAACCCATGGTTTTTCTTTGGAAATATAACCAATTGGGGTTGTTTGTTTATCTTTTAATAGTTCCATTAAGAGACATTATCTGAATCGTTAATAGGTGAATCTTGTTTCGTAAAAAAAAGTCTTGCCACTTAATAGGGGCCTTACCATTGTGTACACAATCAGATATCAATACATGAGCTTTCTTACTCTCTCTGTATAGTCAACAGATATTTTTATTTTTAGATGAATTGAAATTGTTAACATCATTAAGTAATAATAAACTTGAGATCACGTGAGACCAGTTTGTTTCTGTGAGACCTATGATACCGTTTTTTTACACTTGAAACTTTACAGTAAAATATTGTGAAGGTAATCTTCACAGTGGTTTTGCTGTGAAAGTAATATTCATAGTGTTTTTGCTGTGAGGTTTCGACTTTTTTTTTTTATCTTGAAAGCATTTTGCTGTGAAGTTTCAAGTGTAAAAAAGTGGTCTCACAGGAAGCCAACCCAGTAATAGTACAAACATATATTTGTGTGCATACACGTACTTGCTGACTTATGTTGTACTCTTTTAAACTCATCGTCGTGTAAAACTTGATGCTTGATCTTACTGTTGTGTTATGTTTCAGGGGAAGTAAAATACAACTGCGAATGTTTTTAGGAGGGGGTGGTTAAATATTACTATGACTTCAAAAACCAGATATTATATAATCAATTAATTGAAGAAAGGGATTATTGGGTAATTTTACATTTACTTCGAATGTGAATTTTCTTTGCAACAATTTTTTTTACATGCATCTCAAATTTTTACTTATTTCGTCTCTAATAAATTTAAATCCAGTTTCCTCAGTTGATAAAAAGTTAAAAGTGATTTTACTGAAATATAAAACATTTCTTGGGTTTGATGCTTTCTTCTCTAGAAATCGCACTTTTGTCCCGTTGCTTTTAAGGTTACGGTTTTCATTCTTATGGTTCGAAATTTCTCTCGGATGCCAACTCGATTAGTGATTCACCATTAAATATGTGAAACGAAACCAATGATAAACTATAAACCACTAATATAAAAACCATAATTTTGAAAAGTATAAGGACGAAAAATTAACTTTCAACAAATCATAGGTACTAAAAATGTAATTTTTACTCTTTTTTTTTCTTGAATAAGTTACAATTTTTGTAATGTGATTTGTTAATAATTTCATGTTTAGTCCTTATGGTTTAAAGGTTGTTTGTTTACCTCTTAATAGTTCCATTAAGAGACAACATCTGAATCGTTAAAAGGTAAATCTTGTTTGACAAAAAAAGTATGTCTCTTAATGATTCTAAAACCATCTGAATGATTTTGTGCCATGAGTCTTCCTTAAACATTCAACGTCCTAATTTCATTGTAAACAATTATATTTTATTTTGCAGTATATCACGCGAGTTTCTTAATTATTCTGTACCAAACTATTCAACAACTGTCAAACAACCTCTTAGAAATTATGATTTTCATCTTATGTTTTGTAATTTATTGCTATTTTCATTTCTAGTTTAATTTCTACCTTGGACAAAAATAGTACAGAATTGTAAACTACAAGGATTGAAATAATAATAAATTGTAAATCATAAGGTTAAAAATAGCAATCAATTACAAACAATAGGTACTAAAACCTTAAATTCTAAATAACAAGGATAAAAAGCATAATTTTTAACAAACTACAGGGACTAAATTAGTAATTTACTCTTTTTTCTTCTGAACATGAAAGTTTTAGAAAGACATTTTGGATATCGTTGCCTTGTTGCCATACCTTCTTCTTCTTCTGTGCAGTAAACTGTCAACCGGAGTGAAACCACCGGTTGTTTTTCCGGCCACCGTCTCTCGGTGGTTGAACATTTCGTGGAAGAACACAATAAAACTGTTTTCAAACGAGCGAGATGGAGGGAAAAATTCAAGAACAGTTTAACAAAATCTAACCACAAAACAATGAATTCGATTATTCCTTTTTAGCCATTGATTTCATTGTTCCCAAATGTTGCTTCAACAACCTTCACCTTCTCCTAAAACCCTCTCAAATCCTTTCTTCTCTCACCTCCATCTTCCCAAAAACCTTCAATTCAAATCCCCTTTTCAGTTTCGCCGGAATTCGTTTCTCCTCCATGCTTCCGCCTCCTCCGCCGCCGACACTCAAAGTCTACCACAATCCGCAATTAGAAGAATCGCCGATAAGTTACGAAGCCTTGGTTACGTTGACGATAATGGCAGTAATCAACAACAATCACCACCAGAACAAACCCTAAGTACTTCCCCTGGTGAGATATTCGTTCCGCTACCTAATCGTTTGCCAAAATACCGGGTCGGGCACACGCTTGACCCGAGCTGGAGTACGCCTGAAAACCCTGTTCCGGAGCCTGGGTCGGGTACTGCGATAAGAAGGTATCATGAGCTTAGGCGGGAGGTTTGGAAGGAGAAGAAAGAGGAGAAGATTAAGAGGAGAATAGAGGGGAATTCGGAGAGTGACAATGTGCCAACAATGGCGGAATTGAAGCTGCCATTAAAGGAGTTAAGGAGGTTGAGGGGGGTTGGGATTGCTATCAAGGAGAAGCTTAAGATTGGGAAAGCTGGTATTACAGAGGGCATCGTGAATGGAATCCATGAGAGATGGAGACGGACTGAGCTTGTGAAAATTGTCTGTGAAGATATGTGCAGATTGAATATGAAGAGAACCCATGATTTACTAGAGGTTAGATAACAATACGTGTTCTTCTGTAAATATATTCATCTTGAATATGGATGTGTTAGTCATCATGAATGTATGATCCATGGTGAATATTCCTCTTGAATTAATCATATGAATGTGTGATTCATAATGAATAACACGTCCTTAACAAGTCCTTGTACATCATGAATGTTATTCATGATGAATATTCCTCCTGAAGAGGGACACGGTGCTCTCTGTGGGGTGGTCCCCAGGTTCCTAACCAATTTTGGGTTCCAAGGGAACCCTTCTCTCTCTCTCTCTATATATATATATATATAGAGAGAGAGAGAGAGAGGATAGTTCGGTTGCAAACTCGTTTTCGGTTGTGAATTGGAGGAGAAAGCAGAGCGCGACAAGTCTTCACATTCATCATGAAAAATGAAAGTGAACATTGGTGAACTATTCATTATGAATAATGCACCATTCATGATGAATATTACACCATTAATGATCCATGATGAATTGATACACTATCCATGATGAATTGGTACCCTATCCATGATGAATTGGTACACTATTCATGATGAATAACCCGTGAACATATGGGACATATGGCATGCTCTCCTTTGTCCTTCAGTTCACAGTCGAAAATGGTTTGCAACTGAACCTGCCCCTGTATATATGTTTGTCAAATTAAACTCACACACGCCAATATGGCATGTAGGACCATTGGCCCTTCGGTTATACCATCATTCTTTATAAACAACATCAAGCATGCTTCATGTAAGAAAGGATAAACCTTTCTTGTAATGGTGTTCTAAGCAAATTACTGGATTTTACATAGCTTAATACTCACTCCTTCCAACAAAAGTAGTCCAATTCTGATACGCAAATGCCATAGTTATTTTAGCTCGAATCTTTGTTTCTTTTTTGTTCAATGTGGTTATCATTTCTATCTTTACAAATAAAACAGTTCATTCAAAAGATAGAGTTGACCCATTTGACACTTACGTCAGCAACCATAAGCTAACTTATTTTTTGAACTTATTGAAAAAGCCCATTTATTCGTCTTAAGCTCTAGGAGCTTTTTCCTCTTGCCTATTATATGTTTCAATTAAATTTTCAAATGTCCTTTAAGGTCATTTTTCTTTGTCATTTAGCTTATTAGCTAGTTTTACCAAACATGACTAGATAGCTAACTTACCGGCTAAGAGCTAGCTTATCAGCTGGTTTGCCAAACATAGCCTTAAAGTCGGAGCCTCAGAGGTGGACTCTTAGGATGGAGGTAATATAACATGAAAGCCAGGTTTGGCTAACTTTTCACTTTGGAAGCTTGTTATTTGATTTGCATTTCTGTTTGCAACATTTTTCTCAGAGGAAAACCGGTGGTTTGGTTATTTGGAGGGCTGGAAGTATTATAATCTTGTACAGAGGAGCCGACTACAAGTATCCTTACTTCTTTGTTAATAACGTAAAACCAAATGATGCATCTGATGGCGACTTAATTGAAGAGGGTGGTGTTCAAGAAAGCTACTCTCAGATGAAAACGACCCAGCCACCATTGATTCAAGGTGTGGGTTCACGAACTAGGGTACGGTTTCAACTGCCAGGGGAGGCACAGCTCGCGGAAGAAGCTGACCAGCTTTTGGAAGGATTGGGCCCACGGTTCACCGATTGGTATGGATATGATCCCCAACCAGTTGATGCTGACCATTTACCAGCAGTTGTTTCTGGATACCGGAAACCATTCCGGCTCCTTCCCTTTGGAGTTCAACCTAAATTAACAAATGATGAGATGACGATGCTAAGAAGACTTGGGAGGCCTTTACCATGTCATTTCGCATTAGGTCAGCGACTTCCAATTTCTAATTTATACACACGCATATACATGGAGGTTCAAATAAGGAAGACAAAAAGCTTGAGAACGTATGAATAAGTGATCCATATGTGAATCATTGGTAAAAGGAAACGTGGGTTTAGATATGCATCTTCTAATGGATATTTTTCGGGTTTACTAAAGATTCACATATGAATAATTTATTCATACCTTTTTGCCTTTCTTATTTGAATCATCCCCTATATATGTATGTATGGGGAAGTTCAAATGAAAACCATAAATATTTTGAGAACTTGGAAACCAACTGTTTCATGTATTTATTCATGATGAATAATTGCGAACATTATTCATCATGAATATCACGAATGACATGATGCATTTTCATTTTGAATGATTTTCGTAAAAATATCTGTCACGACATTCATGAACAATACATGAATAGTTGGTTCCTGATTCTCAAGATATTTATGGTTCTCATTCGAATTTGTCCCTGAATATTGTGTGTGTGTGTATATATATATATTAAATGAATAGTTGGTTCCTAATTCTCAAAATATTTATGGTTCTCATTCGAACTTTTCCCTGAATAATATATATACATATACATATATTATATGAAGCATATAATTTTTATTTACGGCAAATACTTACTCACACTTCTCACCTTTGATGAGGTTGAACCCTTGACCTCTTGGGAGGCTGGCCCGCTCTACCAGTAACCCATGTGCCGCTGGGCTAATATTCACTTCATTTTGGTTCTGTTTTCTTGTATCAGGTAGAAATAGGAAACTTCAAGGCTTGGCTGCAGCCATATTAAAGCTCTGGGAGAAATGTGAGATTGCAAAGATTGCTGTTAAGAGAGGAGTGCAGAATACCAACAGTGACCTAATGGCTGAAGAATTGAAGGTTAGGGTAGTTGGTTATTTTTATGTTATCTTTCGTTATTCCAAAATTGTTGAATTCTTTCTTAAATAACAAAGAAAATTTAAGTACTGAATCTTGGAGTCCACATCAGCTTGATCTTCAGCTTCATCATATTATTCTATAGACCGTAAATATTTTGAGAACTTGGGAACCAACTATTCATGCCTTATTCATGATGAATGTCGTGATAGATAATGATGGAAATTATTCATAATGAAAATACATGATATTCATGATAAAAATGCATGATATTATAAATTATGAAAATGCATGATATTCATGACTATGCATGCTGTTTATTGTGGCGCAATAGCAGTGCAATAGCGGTGATAAATTGCGGTTCCGAGAATAGCGGCGCAAGTTACCACTATTTCACCAATATTTGAGATAAAATAGCGGTCCACAATACCGATATTCTTAGTTGGGCCTCTTTTGAATCTAATACTTGCATTTTTGTCGTTTTTGGGCTTTTATTTTGACTTATATTTTGATTTCGGACCTTATTTTTATTTTATTCCATTAACAGTCAACGAATTGCATCCAACATCCGGTTTAGAAATTCTTAGGTTTTCAATTTCTTTCTATCATCTTCGACAGTCAACCCAAGTTGGACACCGTTTGAGTTTTCCAGCCTCACTTGATGTTTTGATGTTGAAACTATATTTTTAATTAATGCATATAATATGTTATGTATGCATATATATATATATATGTACATATTATATAATATATATATATATATATATATATAATTCTAATAAATAGTATATGCGCCGTTATTTTTGGACCGTTATACCACCTCTATAGCAATGCTATTGCCGCTATTTTTAATACCAGTCCTGATTGCTATTTTGTATTTTGACCGTTGTAACAGCATAGATTCATGATGAATAATATCATTTTTCAGAGTTATTCATAATGAATAATATATGAAACAGTTGGTTCAGAGGTTCTCATTTGAACTTTCCCCTTATTCTATAATGCAACTTGTAGTTCAACTTGGTTTCACCAAATGCTACTTTCATGCCTTACGAGAAGTAAAAAATTTCAGTGGCTAACGGGAGGAACACTACTTACACGGGATAAGGAGTATATTGTTCTGTATAGAGGTAAAGATTTCTTGCCGGCTACAGTATCTTCAGCAATAGAACAAAGAAGAAACCGTGGAGTTAATGGATTTGAAAGGAAGAAGATTCGTAGCTCATCAGATGCAGAATTGAATAAAGATAAAAGAACTGAGAGTCCTTTTGTTGCCAAACTTGATGGAATAAGAGACCAGAAATTAGAAGTTGCCATTGAGCAGAGGAAACTACGATCCCGTGAAGCAGCTGTTAAGAGAACTAGTTCCAAATTGTCTCAGGTAATCGATTAAATTGTTCATTTACCTTCTTTTGCATACTTCAACTGCCATGCACGATACTTCCTCCATCCCAAAATAAGGGGCTGTTTGGTTGGTTTTCCATCAAGTCATGTATGGATAAAACTGTCTGTGTGGATTAATCTGTCTATATAGATTGAGAAGGTTTTTGTTTGGAAGGTTTTTTTTTAGTTGGAAGGAGTGTGTTTTTTTATTGGGAGGGGCAGGTTTGAAAAAGACTTGGCTTTTTGCATAAAGCTCCCCCTAGAAGCTTATTGAATAAGCCACTTTCTATATAATTAAGCCACTACCAAACACTCATGTATAGCTGACCGAATAAGTTGTGAGTCCCATTAAGCTTTAAGCTGCTAACAAATGTCCACAATGAAAAAGGCACACAACTTTATAAAAATGTAATTATCACACTTTTTAATTAACTAAATGACAATTTTACCCTTGATAATAGAGTTAGTAATGAATTTCTCCATCTCGTAATTAAGGGTAGAATTGGAAAGTAGACACTTATTTTGGGATAAATCTAGCCAAGGAAACCAATTTCAAGATGGTATCATTTTCTGGAATGTTACTCTTTGCTTTTGGCTTTTTGCTAATGTTTCATGTTGATAATGATAGGCATTGGAAAGTAAAGAAAGGGCAGAGAAGCTTCTGGAAGAGTTGGAGAAGCAAGAGATCAAACAAGAACTTGAAGTGGATAAAGAGGGTATCACTGAAGAGGAAAGATACATGCTGAGGAAGGTTGGCTTGAAAATGAGGCCTTTCTTACTATTGGGTGAGTCTCGGTTTCACATAACACAACATTTGGGGTACATTTGGTACGCGGGATTCACAAAAAAAGCCCAAGCCTGAAGCTTGGGCCTAGTGAGCACAGATGCCTAGTCTGGCCCAGGCCTCATAGCCCGATCAGGTTTGGGAAAAGAAAGCCCATTTAATCCCGGTCTGACAAAGCTCTTTTGGGTCCCTTTTCAACCCAATAGCCCGGCCAAGCCCGAGTGACCGGGCCTTTTTTTGCTCACTGAAAACAGGCTTGGAAGGCCCAGGCCTGAAAAGCCTGGGCCTTGTGCATCTCTGACGGAACAAGATAGTACAAAAGCTTGTTGTCCCATGTTTGGTGCGACATTAGACTGGGACAGGACATGACCTCGAGTGGGAAAAAATGCCTTTTTGGTGGGACAAAAATCAAGGAGGTAAGACAAGAATGGTAAATTACTAAACTACCTATGTGAGATTGAACCCTAAAACCTTCCTTGATTCTTTCACCCGCTTACTTTCGCCCGTCTAGTCCTATCAAGTCCCATCTGCATACCAATGGCACCCTTGAAGTCTAAGACAATTGAATCACAAATTTCCTCTTCCCAATATCAAATACTAATGCAAAACTCCCTTCAAACATCCATCTCTCATTCTCAGGAAGACGTGGAGTTTTTGATGGAACCGTTGAAAATATGCATCTTCACTGGAAATATAGGGAACTTGTGAAGATATTAACCGGTGAGACGAGCATTGATGAGCTTTATGCAATAGCAAGGACGTTAGAAGCCGAAAGTGGTGGAATATTGGTGGCAGTAGAACGAGTGCGTAAAGGTCATGCAATCATTGTCTATCGTGGCAAGAACTATAAACGACCTGCTAGCTTGAGGCCACAAACACTCCTTAATAAAAGAGAGGCACTAAAGCGTTCTATAGAAGCCCAACGCCGAGAGGTAAAGTGACAATTTTTATGTTGTTAAGTTGGTGCCGGGTCCTTAGCTTTATAAAATACTCCCTCCGTCTCAAAATAATTGTCTACAATGAAAAAAGGCACACAATTTTAGAATGTGTAATTATTACAGTTTTTAATTAACAAGATGACAAATTTACCCTTAATAACAGAGGGAGTAATGAATTTCTCCATGCTCATAATTAAGGGTAGAATTGGAAGGTAGACACTTACTTTTGATAGTGGACACTTATTTTGGGACAAACTAAAATAGAAATGTAGACACTTATTTTGGGAGGGGAGTACCAAAAGATAATTGATGATGCAATATAGATGGAAATAATGTTACTATCAAGAGGCCCAATGTTTTATTATTGTTATCTAATCTTCATGCTAATATGGGTAAGATGCAGTACTGATAGGATTCTTATAATTTAATTCCAAAGTGGAGAAACTGAAGGATCAAGTCATCTTTTATGCCAACTGTCTTATGTGGCCTCTGATAGGAGTTCTTGGACATGCCGGCTTTAGGCATTTCTGAGGACCCGACCTCTGATAGGAGTTGGCATAGACGCAAAACAAGGGTAGTAGATTAGGGGTGAAGATAGATGGGAGGCTGGGAGCGAGAGGAGGTAGACGGTACTGGGGTGTTCGCGGTCCTATTTGAGCGGTTTAAACCCCCCAAAGTAGGGGTGTTCAAAAACGCATTGGACCTCCCAAACCGGTCAAACCAAGTCAACCAGACTGTTTTTGGCGGTTTGAGTGGTAGGGGTTAGGATTAGTGAGTCGTTAGTTAAGTTTTTTGTTCTTCTTGTATTTATATCCATCTTTTCTAAATTTAACTATTTAAGTGTACCTGTCTTTTTTCTCATTCACACACTTTTGACAAGCCGGGGGTCTTCACGGAAACAATTGCTCTACTCTTTGAGCTAGAGGTCATACATCTTACGGTCTGTTTGTTAGCTGCTTAATGAGCTTAATGGGACTCACAGCTTATTCCGTCAGCTATACATGACTGTTTGGTAGTGGCTTAAAGATATAGAAAGTTGCCTTTTCAGTAAGCCTCTTAGGGGGAGCTTTATGCACAGGTTTTTTCCAAACCTGCTCATCCCATTTAAAAAATACACTTCTTCCTTCTATGAAAAAACCTCCCAAACAAAAATCTTCCTAATTTATATAGATAGATTAATCCATGCATGACTTAATGGAAAAGGAACCAAACAATCCCTTACCCTCCCTAGACCCCACCTCCGAGTGGGATATATTGGGCTCGTTTCGTTTTATTGTCTCACGTGGCTTGCATCAATCACCATGTCTCATGATAGTTTTTCCAAATTTTATCTGCTTTTGCTAACTACGGGTTACCTTTGTGATGCAGTCTTTGAAGCTTCACGTATTGAAACTTGGCAAAAATGTCGAAGAATTGAAGCTCAAATTGGTGAGTATTCGGATGTGGTCAAGCGTTATATTGGTCTTGGTATTGGCCTCTTTTGTACTTTCAGATCATTTCCAAATAAATCACTCAATTTGTCTTCAACCAGGCCAAAAATGAGGAAACCGAAAGGAATTGTGAAAAAGATGAGAAGGTTCAGTTGGTGGGTGTCTTCTTTTAGATGTTACTTCCCGTTGTTTTCTAGTTTAAGTGTGACATTAGATCGGTGCTGTTTCCGGTAATGCTGTTATTATGATGTACAGGAGCACGAGATAGTGAAAAGCCGGTCAGCTGAATATATGGAACCCCATACTGTTCTATCAGCTGAATCTATGGAACCTGATTCTGATCCTGAACTTTATAAGTCAGATCCTACCGATCAAGACAACAGGCAGGTGAGGAGTATTTACTTGTGTTGGGAATCTCTCTCTCTCCACACACACACACACACACATATATAGGGGCAGGTTCAATTGAAAACCTAAGTTCCGTTGTGAATTGGGAGACAAAGGAGAGTGCGCCACTAGTCCCATACATTCAAGGGTTATTCATCATGAATGGTGTCGTTCATCATGGATAACGAATGGTGTGTCGTTCATCATGGATCACGGATGGTGTGTCGTTCATTATCGATCACAAATGATGTGTCGTTCGTTATGGATCACGAATGATGTGTTGTTCATTATGGATGGTCCACGTGAACACATAGATGTTCACGTTCATTATTCATGATGAATGGTGTGTCATTCATCATGAATAGTCCACGTGAACACACAAATGTTCACGTTCATTATTCATGATGAATGTAGTTGAGACCAATCTATCATATAGATGAGGATAAACTAGTGGACAACCTAGGACACGCGTCACATTCTCCTTTGTCCCCTAGTTCACAATAGAGAAAAGGTTCGCAATTGAACTTCTCTCTCTATAATGTGTGTGTGTATATATATATATATATATATATATAGACGAAGGATCGTGTGAGAATAGGAGTTAAGGCGAGAAGCATAAGAAGGGATCTAGATTCTTGATCACTTTTAATCTCACCCCCACCCCATGAATTGCATTTGATACGGGAATTTATCCGGTGCATCTCATTAGTATTGATCTTCACTTAGGATTGATCCAAGGGTGGAGTTCCCTTCTTACCCTTCTTATGATAATTTCCATTCTCACCGAAACCCAACCCTATATATATTATATTATTTTGGGATTTGGGATCATGTGAGAACAATTTTTTGGTGAGAACAGTCAGAACACTTATGAGCCTTTGGATGAGTTGATTTTTGATCCAACTGGGCTTACAAAAAACACGGGCCTTCATCTACCTTCAACTGGTGGCTCACAGAAAAACGCAGTCATCTACCTTCATCATCACCTTTACAAACTTTCACATAGCTTCCGTCGCTTTCAAAATGCATGAATTTTTTGAAGTTTCAGTCATGGTGATACAAGTAAATGAAGTTAGATGAAGGTGTGTGAATGCATGTAAATATAGGTGATGAATGTAGATGAAGGTCCGTGTTCTCACTGTTCTCTCAAAAAATTGTTGTCACATGATTCCAACCCTATGTATGTATTTATGCATCAAGTTTATTTGCATCTCGTATATAAATATTTTATTCACGACATGCATTACATTTGGTTGGAGAATTTACTCATTTGCAATATTGAAGGGAAGAGAGCTTCATGAAGGTGTTTTAGTTTCTTTAAACGAAAACGATGGTTTAAAAGCATCACAAGGAAGTCCAGAAACCAATTGTCAAGATCAAGCGAGCGAGTTTTCCATGGAGTTGGACAACGATGACCAAACCAGACAGCAGGATCTGCCTGAAGTTTCCTCTATAAAGCATGCTGACGAGGATGACTGTGGGTCCACAGAAGCTAATTCAAACGTGTCGTCTGTATTCGTGGAAGGAATTAGCGGGTTTCCCGAAATGAACAATGAAAACGAGAAATCTAAGACACAAAATACTTCAACTTTCCCCGATGCTTTCAAGGTAACACAATTATCTATTTCAATCAACAGGGCAGGTTCAAATGACAACCTTAAATATTTTGAGGATATGGAACCAACATGAATGTCATGATAGATATTTATGATGAAAATTATTCATAATGAATATACATGATACCTTGAATAATGAAAATGCATGATATTCATCATTATTCATTATGATTATACATGAGGTTGAAATGAGAACCGTAAATATTTGAGAATCTCGGAACCAACATGAATGTCGTGATAGATATTTACGATGAAAATTATTCATAATGAAAATACATGATATCATGAACAATGAAAATGCATGATATTCATTATGAGTAATACATGATATAATTGGTTCCCAAGTTCTCAGTATATTTATTGTTCAGAGTGACAATATTGGGTGTAAATGGTATGAGACAACTCGTGAGCTACTCGAGATCGACTCGATCAAAGCTCGGTCAACACTCGACTCGAATAGGCTCGGCTCGACTCGATATATTAACGAGTCAAGTCAAGCTACCCAATACTCGACTCGAAAAGCTCGTGAGATACTCGATTATTTTATATATAATTAGTTTTTATGATAAAATTTGTAAAATATAAATAATAAAAATGTCTTAAATTTTTAGATATTTAAAAAAAATTAGGCATTTTTTAATTATGAAAATTAATCAATTATTTTTATTAAAATCACAATTAAAAAAAGACAAAGAAAAACTATAAAAAAGGTTGGTAAAATTGTCCCACATTGGAAGAGAGATGGCAAAGGAAAGAGAGAAAAGATGTTATAAGAAAAAGGGGAGGTGAACGAAATTTCTAACTTTGTCTTTTTGATGATGAAGTTTGAGTTGATCCCTTTAGTTTTATAAAAACTAAGAGAACATTTTTAAGTTTTAAAATTTCTAAGAGAATGACCCTAAATTTTCATAAATTTCAATGGTCGAGCTTGATTCGAGTTCGAGTTTGATTCGAGTTGAGTTCGAGTTTGATCCGAGTTTGAGGTTAAGAAATAGTTATCGAGTTCGAGTCGAGCTTTGATTTTTACTACTCGCGAGTTTTTGAGTCGAGTTCGAGTCGAGTATAGTGATACTCGAGCTCGACAAGCTCGAACTCGACTCGCATCATTTACATCCCTCAATACATGAATACATGATGTCATGAATAATGAAAACTATTTATTATAGATATTTATGATGAAATTATTCACACAGAAAATACATGATATCATGAATAATGAAAAGCTGCATGATTTCATGGTCAATCATATTCATGGTGGTTCATTATGAATAATGGATGATATAATCGGTTCCCAGGTTCTCAATATTGTTCTCATCTGAACTTTCCTCTTCAATTAAAACCTTTTATATTTCCATTCTCTGTTTGTGATGAATTAACATCATTGCCATTTATCCTAATCTGGAGTCGACATATGATTTACCTATTTCAGCTAGAACGGTCACTTAGTACCGAGCCTTGTGAGCCTGTCATAAGGAGCGAGATGCCATTTTCGCCGATTCATGGACCTAGTGTTACCGAGTCAAGCGGGAAACGACACAGGTCTGCTCTTCTTTCCAATAAAGAACGACTGCTTTTGAGGAAACAAGCCCTTAAGATGAAAAAACGTCCTGTTCTGGCTGTCGGTAAGTTCCAAGCATGCTATCAGTTAATTCTTTGCATAAAATAAGTGTTGCATTCACTCCCCTTTCAAAGGCGGAAATCAACACAAAATAAAATAGCATTTGTGGTGTGTTTGGTACTAGACGGTGAGATTGAGGTAGGAAAGAATTGTGGAAAGGTTAAGTTTTTGTTTGACATCGGTAATATAGTAATTTACCAATCTTGTCTCATCTCCCTGATTTAATCCGACATTTTTTCCCACTCAGTTCGGTGTAGTCTCAGTCTAATGTCACGTCAAATGTGGGACAAGTTTTTTTCTCTCCTGTCCCGTCTGGGTCCTGCGTACCAAATGCACCCTTGGATTTGTTGTTTTTGTTCAACGTATTTCCCTTGCATATGTCCATGTTATGCTCGTTTAGAGATGGCCATAAATTGGTCTCAGATCGGGCCAGGCCGGTCCCAAATCGGTCCTTTCAAAATTGGGCTGTCCCTGGTTCTGGTCCCGCTCGAGCCCAAAAATTATATGACTGACCCTAGGCTCAGTAACTGGTCCCTTGCCGGACCAATTACTAATAAATTATTTTACATAAAAATGTTATTAATGTTCTTTTAGTTTCTAAAAAAATATGTTACATAAAAATCGGGCCGGGCTGGGCATGATTTGGCTATCTCTAGTATGCATGCATCCCATCTTCAGACCCTACCTCTATGTGCGGGATATACTTGATTTGTTTGGTTTATACCAATACTATGTTTGCAGGGAGAAGCAATATTGTTAGTGGAGTGGCGAAAACGATTAAGACGCACTTCGAGAAGCATCCGCTTGCTATTGTGAATATAAAAGGCCGAGCCAAAGGAACTTCAGTGCAAGAAGTGGTTTTGATGTTAGAGGTTTGAACCTCGACTTCATATGCGTATCATAGAAACAAGTTGCCGATCACCGATCGCTAAACTTGGTGCTCATATGTAACTTCTTATTGAAGTATATAATATTTATGGGTCAGGTTGAGGGGAAAACCGCAAAAAGTTGAAAAGCTGAGGAACACCCTAGTAATTGTCATCTGTATGGTATGCACAAATGAGCTGTTATTAGAGCGTTCTTCAAATTCTCACTTTTTGGGGGTTTTCCCCTAACACCTCACTCTAATAATACTCAAGCACACTCCTAACCTTTACTGAGGTTTGAACCCTTGACCTCTAGGGAGACTAGGATTTACCGGTATCATGGATACAACTCACCTTAGGGGTGTAAACGAGCCGAGTCGAGTAGTAGGTTATTCGAGCTCGATTCGAAAAAATAATACCAGGCTCGAGCTCGAATAATTTTAAAAAGTAGGGCTCGAGCTTGGATATTTTTTTAATTATCGAGCTCGATGCTCGTTTATCGGCTTGAACTCGCGATCGTTTAACTTGTTTATGGGCTTGTGCTTGATAATTTTTATTGTAAAAAAGCGTATGCTAGAATGGCTCGGCTCGAGTTGAAAATTTCAATCGAGTTTCCAAACGAGCCGAGCCGAACATTGGCGTTATGAAGCTCGGCTCGTTGAGTGAAACTAGTTTTATTTTGTGTTCGAGATTGACTTGAGCTTGAGATTATTAAGCTCAAGCTCGAGTAGGTCGTTAAAAGCTCGAATAGTTTAAATCCCTAGCTGGGCCAATGACCCTTTGGTTTCTTATCTACTTGCAGGAAGCAACGGGTGGAATTCTCGTCTCCCAAGAACCAAGTAAAGTTATTCTGTACCGGGGTTGGGGGGCAACCACGACGTCGGATTCTAACCGAACTAATGGGAAACATGAACCAAGGGACCATGAAGGCATGGTCAAACCAATCATCTCTCCCGAACTCATTTCGGCAATCAGGCTTGAATGCGGATTGCAGGATAACAAAGTCCCCTAGATCGAAGGAGTTTCCTAGAGGCGAAAAACGGTATTGCTCGCTTTTCTTGTTTCCGTTTTTACCAAACCAAACGATCCCGGTATAATCTCACGTGAGGGTGGGGTCTGACCTTGAGGACCAACTCAACCGGAAAATAAAGGATGGGCTTTAGGGCTCTTCCCTATAGGTGATTGGTTCGAGTCTCCTGAGGGCCATCGGGAATTTTTCTACCTATGATGTCTTCATAACCGGGGTTATCATCTTAAATGGCCACCTCACGGAAAAAAAGGTTTAATATCATAGCCACCATTTTAATTTTTTCTCACAAAATAGTCAAGAAACCGCAAGTCAATTATGCAAGACAATTTATATTGCATCCCCGCAAGCTGCGGTGCCACAGGTTGCGTCGATGCATGTCCTTGCGGTGCGGTGACGCAAGTTGCGGCATCTCAATTTATTTTTGCTGTGCGCCCACTCTTCATATGGGTGCGTCAAAAGATGTTAGAAACCAGAAGGAAAAGTGTCTTGCAGCGTTGACTTACGGTTTCTTGGCTATTTTGTGAGAAAAAGTTTGGAGGTGGCTAAAAAGAACTTTTTCCCCATAGGTTCTTGTAACAACTCGTCCCACATGGGTAGAAAATGGAATTTATGAGCTCCTTATAAGCATCAAGTTGTGAGTTATCAATAACTTCCACCATAGTTTTAAGTTGAATTCGAGGTTATTGGGTCAGCCTATTGCTTTGGCTTTGTGGGGTTGCAGTTATTTATGATGATAACCCCTTCAGGGCCAAATGGGATTTGTTGAGGTGCATGTAAGCTGACCATGACACCCACAGTTACAAAAAACCAGTGGGGGTTCCGCAGATGGGATGTACGCAAACCTGATCTCTACACCGAGTAGAGCGACTGTTTCCTTGAAGACCTCTGGTTTGTGGGTTTATTATCGTGTTGAATGTCATCTTTGTTTTTCTTGGAATGTAGATTTGTGACCTTCACTCGGTATTTCTTGGCTACCAACGACGTTTCCGACTATTACTCAAGGCGTTTTTGTCCTTCTCTAAGGTCAATGGTCATATCGACAATGCATGCTTCTCGGGGCTGCATTTTAGTAAGAGATTCGACATTGTGAGTTGAAGCTATCCGGCTTCCGAAACACCTAATTGGTAAAAAGAGTCTGTTTGTAGAACGTCTTTTTCCTTCTTGCCTAACGAGAGAACCGCTCGTTACTGAAACACATACGCTCTTGTAGGGATATAGACGGTTGCATCTGGGAGGTTTACGGTTTTCGAATTACGATCGTAATTTTGTATATCTACAATTACGACTATAATCTTGTAACTACTTTGTAAAAGTGTTATCTTGAAAGGTCAGTAGAAAGAGGTCAGATCTACGTATATTTTACCATCTTTCTATCTGTTACAGATTTATAGTCCAATTGGAAGTCAAATCAAATGAAGCCATATAAGCAATCTCTAGAAATTTTGGAGATTTAAAGAAAATTTACTTTAACATTTTGGCTTGAGCAAATTGTATGAAAAAGTAATGTATTTTAACTTAAATTAACTCCGGTACTTAAATGTTTAGAATTTTATATCTTAAAATATCAAAATGGAAGCTTTGAAAGTATGTTACCCAAAATATGAATCAAGTTAAAAATTATAATACTAGAAATTAAACATGTGTAAATATGTATAATTTCTGTTATTATAATTTTTATTAAACATATTTGATTAAATTTACAATGTTTAAATGATAAAAATATTAAAATCAAAAATACAATGTTATAATAAAAAATTGTAATGTTATAATAAAGTAATTTTGAAAGTACAATGTTACAATAAGAAATGTCATGTCAACCCTATTGTGCATGTGGACAGTTTACGTGGACGATAAGGTGACAAAAAAACCTGATATAATGTGTAAATTTAATTTAAAAAAGTTACCCAATGCAATAACGGGTAAATTTTTGAAATTACAATGTCCTAGTAAAAAAATATTTTGAAAGTATATTACTGTAATAAGAAAAATTGAAAATACAATACTATAAGAAGATTTATAAAAGGAGGTTGCTATTTTGAAAGTAGGTTGTTTGTTTACTTCCTAATAGCTCCATTAAGAGGCAACATCTGAATTGTTAAGAGGTGAATCTTGTTTGGCAAAAAAAAAATCTGCATCTTAATGGTTCTGTATCCTGGATCTTCCTTAACCATTAAGAGCCCTAATTTTATTGTACACAATTAGCAAACAATTATATTTCATTTTACACTATATCATGAAAGTCTCTTAATCATTCTGACCACTTTTCACCAAATCATTCAGCAATTACCACACAACCACTAAAATTATTATCAAACCACATTAACAAAAATTCGTAATTTTTTGTATTGGGCTAAAATGAAGGCCCAATTGAGATGAAAATAGAAGGCAGAACAAGGCTCCCTGGAAACAATTCATCGGCTCGGAGAAGTTGATATCGCAACCAGTTGTGCTGCACACGTCCACCGCCGGTCAAAATCAAGAACATCTTTCCGGTAACGTCAAATTGTACAGACAGATGTATGTATGTATAGGTCACTGACGATGATCCGGAACTTTTCTTTCTACTTCATCTTCAGATACTTCTAGTCCTGCTCTACTTGGCTTAATTGATCGAAATCGGAAATCAGGAGTAATGACCATGATGAGAGCTCTACCGGCATCCACTTCTTACGCCGTTGGCATTCGTGTTTCCTCTTTCACAACCTCTCCTACGCACCTCGCTTCCCGTCGACTCGTCATTGCTAAAGGTAATTTACATAAGCGCGCTCTCAAACTTTGAATCGAGTTGATTTTTGTCTATTAGTACTTCAGATTTGATTCCCTATGAGTTGTAGTATCAATTAGACTGCTAATTCTTACTGTTCATATAGTATGATATGAATATACTACATCAATTGGTTATGTTTTATTTTATGATAATTTTCTGAAATTATATATGATTATTGCTATTGTTTTTGCAAAATATGCGGGTGCGTACTTGGATAAGATGATAAGCGTAGTCGCGATGATTGTGTTTTTGTTCATTCGATTCCATTTCGTTGATGTGATTTCACTAATTTTTTTGCTTCGAAGCAGAATATGTTCAAGTTACTGGTGCGTATAATGAGATAAACATTTTTCATGCTAATCATGTTCGAGTTGATTTGATTTGTGCATATTAACGCCTTAATGTAATTGATGCTAGCATCATTATTAACTTGCTCAAATCAAAGAGAGGGGATTAGCACCTGTCAAGCTCAAATTAGTTTTTGTATTGAAAATTTAGTTGAATTAGGTTACATTGTTAAAGAACTGACCATTTTATTGGTGGTACTTCCCTTGTTGCTAAGATTGTTGTTTTAAATACTTTCAGCTGAACCATCAGATAAGTCTGTCGAGATTATGAGGAAATTCTCAGAGCAGTATGCTCGTAAATCTGGCACGTATTTTTGCGTCGATAAAAGTGTTACTTCTGTAGTTATCAAGGTACTACTTTTTCCTACTGTTATTTCATGCTAGACCATGAATGTCTTCCTCTGTCAGATTTGGTTCGATTTGCATTTATCGAGGATGTTTGTTGGTAATCACTTTTTGACCTAGAATGTGCAATAGATGCATGTACCATTTCCTTCCATTTTTGTGATATTTACAATTATTTCGATGAAGAGTTTTGCATATTTTTTATTCTGAGCCTCTCTTTTGTTACACTTCATAATATGCTGTTGTAGTGCTTGAAGTTTCTGACTCACTAATAACTTCAGTTGTTATCCAACAAGAAAACAAAGAGTTGAACCATGAAGTGTAAAGAAGTTGTAATGGGAGTCTTCTACTTGGATCACATCCAGCCATGAGATATCAGTATTGATACTGGTCAAAACTTTTCTCCTTAAGATGTGAGTGTTCTTCTGGAATAATCACCAGCACTTCTTTGATTAGGGTTGGGTCTATACATAAAAGAAATTCCTAGGCCTCAATGCTTATAAGCTTGAGATATTATTAGTTAATCGACTGATTCTTCCGAATCATGAAGGATATAGAAGGGCCCATCTTCATAAATGTCAGGATTTTTGCATTCTATTTGAAAATGGCAGGAGTAGTTTCTAATTAATTTGCCTAATATGTCAAAGCAGTCTTAATAAACAGGTCTATTTTCTAAACTAGTCAGGCTAGGCTAAAAAGGGAGACCCGTATGAACTATAAAGTGGTGAACACTTCTAAAACGGTAGAAAATCAATAGATCCCTCCCCGTTCTCCATCTAACACCATGCTCATTGCCACATTCCATGTATTGAGATCTCTTTTCCGGTGTTAACTTTGGCCTACCTCCTTGTAACATGTTCCCTTTTGGACTTTGGGGGCAGTTTTGCTGCTTGGAATCCATAAAATAGTTTGTTTATCCGTATTTCTTTAAAGTGGAGAACGCTCTAAATCTAAGACTAGGGTGCTGGCTCTTTTTGGTATAGGATGATGAGAGGAATTAGTTTCTTTGCTCTTGTGCACCAGAGAGCTTTTGTCTGTCCTTTGTCTAGTATATACGTAACATTACTCTTATCATCTTTTCTTGTTGTGTGCAAGTATAGTAGCTATTGCTGACTTGATGAAGCTGCCACTAGAAAAAGTATGACGTGGTGCAGCTGGAATGGGTTATTGTTTACCCACTATAGCCGTTGGCCGGCTATAAATTCTGCAAGAATATTAATGAAATCTTGTTGGAACTGTCCATATCTGGTTCGCTCTTTGGAATAGCGGTCCTTGTATATCGTATTAACTATTGAAATATGGTCGAAAGAAAAAATCTCTATTTGATAGGGCTGAAAGGGGTATGGGGTTATCAGCAAGCCAGTTGAGATAGGATTGTAAACCGCCACCCTTCCGGGTTAGACTGAAAGTGACCAGAAATTCTGACACCCATTGGCATAGAGTATGGAAGTATTTATTACTAAATTTATGATTCTTGATATCAAAGAGTGTTGTCATAAATAACAAGGACAAAGGGAATGGACGTTGCCTCCTTTACTAAGTTTTCTTACACAAATAGAAGGCTTCAGGGAATGTGAGCAAAGAGTTTTGACCCTAGAGGGAAGAGAGGGTTTGTTGGAAGACTTTTTGCTCATGTCCAGTCTTCAATTAGTGAGAAATAGATACATAAAAGTACTTGCCTCTATGATTCACGCTGTTCTTATGGAGTAGTGTTTACATACTATCATGGCACAACTAAAACCATAAGCACTAGTAACTGCTTAGTGAGAAATAGATACATAAAACCATAAATGTCTTATGAAGTATGTGGAGGCATCAGCTGTTATGCTTAATATTTACGTATGTGTGTGTGCATATATATGTATATCATTCTTTTTGGCTCTCTGGTTAACTATGTGCTAACTTATGAAGTAGGGTTTGATTTTTTTTTTCACTGAGCCAGATATGTATTAGGTCGACTATAGCGATTAAGCTGGCTGTATAAATTAAGATAAATTTTTGTTTGTTTTTTTGTATTGAATAAATGGTCTGAATAGCATAAATTACGATTTTAACCATCAACAAAACACTATCAAATTTTGTTTTTTAAAACAGTATTTATAACTCAACAGTGTAACGCCCCCAGAACCCCGTAGCAAGATATTGTCCGCTTTGGCTAACCTGCCCGCTATACCACAAAGCAGTAGCCGCACGGTTTTCTCCTGGCATGGGCATGAACCGAAGCTCGTATCCCACCCAAAACGCGTCTTACTAGAGAAGGTATCCACACCCTTATAAGGAGTGCTTCGTTCTCCTTCCCAACCGATGTGGGACGAGTGACACACCCGCATCGCGGCTGTTACAAACAGCATACGATCAAATTTAATAAATGTAGATAAGATATTAATGAAACAACAATAAAATATATAGCCAAAGGAAACTAGAAAAAGACGACAGGTAAAAGGATTTACGTAAATGGAAGAACCAAAGAAGGGGGAAAAATGGCATTTTTGGAAAAAAGTTTGGCTGAACGGGTAAAGGCAACATTAGCTGGAATTAAGCCATGGTTTTAGCATTAAACCATAAGCAAACACATCTTTATAATTTAACGAATTAAGCTACAAGTCCATTAAGCTTATTAATTGTCCAAGGGGCATGAGTCTTCGTATTATACGTGGAGCTTATTAATTATCAGTATGCAAGTTAAAGGTAATTACCTTGTTGATACAGGGATTGGCTGACCATAAAGATTCATTAGGTGCACCACTTTGCCCCTGCAGGTACATGCACAATTCTTGCTCATTTATGTTAAACTCTTCTTTTAAAAACAGAGTGTATTTCTGTATAAATCAGATACTATGTGATTTTGTTTGTAAACAGGCACTATGATGACAAAGCAGCAGAGGCAACACAAGGCTTTTGGAATTGTCCTTGTGTTCCCATGAGAGAAAGGTAACCGACTCCAAATCTGATTGGATGCTAGATTTTAGGAGTTTTTATTCTGTGCAATCTAGTGATAGACGAAGGATCATTTGAGAATAGAAGTTAAGGTGAGAAAAGTAAGAAGGGATTTGGACCCTTGATCACTTTTAATCGCAAAACAACCCATGAACTGCGCTTTAGAAGGGAATTGATCCAGTGTTTCTCACTAGTGTTGATCTAGTGGTTCTCTTCAATTAGGATTGATCCAAAAGTGGAGATCCCTTCTTACCCTTATCACCATAACTTTCATTCTCACCGGAACCCGACCCTATAGTGATATACAGCAAGAATAGCAAACCACACCCCCCCCCCCCCCCCCCCCCCCCCCCCCCCC